AAACAAAAATAAAATTAAAATGATAAGTTTGATAGTGACCTTTAAATTTTTTAATATATCTTTTTATATAAAGGAAAAGATTTCGCAAACGATACGACTAATGAAATGTCAGTATTTAAAAGTTTATTTAAATTTGTATCTTTAAAATTTTAATATTTTAATTCGGACTTTTTTTCTTTCTTTTTGAAGACAAATTTTTCATACGAGTCGAATTGTAAATGGTCGAGTTTATTTATTTAAAAATTATATCTTTGACATTTTATTATTATTTCAATCAATTTCAATTAAAAATTAATTAAACGACAAATAGATTATATAAAAATCAAATAATCCTAGAAAATTTCGAGAAAATTTCGTTAGTGACTTTGAAATTGTCAATTTAAAATTTTTATTATTCAGAAATTATATTTTCTTTCATTTTTTAAAATTTTCAAGTATTCCTTTGATATATTTTTATACTATATATTTTTAAATTAATATGTTATTTAATCAAATCCGATTATTTATCCAAATTCGATAAACAAAATATTTTATTTCATATTTCCAAATCAATTAACCAACTTTGCAAAATCTAATGCAATTAAAAATCAAAGTTAATTTGTGAAACAACTCGTAATTATTCAAAGGAAATAGTAATTTCAAATTAAATTTTAGTTATATACTTTCGTTAATTAAGAATTTTATTCTTTGAGTATAAAAATTTTCTTTTAATACGAAAGTATTAGATAATTAGTAAAAATTTCATCGTTATATCAAGGTTTTTCTGAAGATTAGTTTTAAAAAATTTTTAAACCATCACGAGTTTAAGAAGTTATAGAAAGATTCCAGGAAAATTATCGTGCAAGACATCATTTAATATATTCCAAAAAAATTTCAAAATAATGAACGAACATTTAATAATACGTATTTAAAAAATATAAAAATATATTAAATATGTGAGTAACAAATTTCATACTTTGAATGATGATATGCAAATATAACAATTTTTTAAAGAGACCATATTTTTTGTGGACATGTTTCCATTTAAATTTTCAAATTTCAATGAATTTTCAAAACTCGAATTTTACAATTACACGTGATAATGTCCGTAATTATAAGATAACAGGAAATTTCAGGATAATTGCAAGTCTGGTCAATAGAAGTTTCCGGTTTGACAAACAATTTTTCCAACGATTAATCATTTCATACGCGACAGAAAAATATTTGTTGCGATTTGCTACAATGGTTTCACTGTGCAAACACGCGAACTGAGAAAAAATAGCTTCACAGAGAATGAATAATAAATGAGAGATCATTTTCACACTGACGACAATTGACTTTCTAGAGAAATAGATGGAAAATAAGATCGATGGAAATTATCACAAAGATTATTTTAGACATTTTTTTTTATTTTTGCAATGTATCTAGAAAAAAATTAATAAATAAAGAAAAATGAAAAATTTTATTTTTTACATATTAGAAAATTATATATAATTTTTTTGAAAAATTATCTTACATTTAATCAGATTGATTATTGTATGTATTTATATATTCGTATGTTTAATCACGTTGATTATTATATATTTATATATTCATATATTCAATTCAATTTTCTTGGATTTCTTTTTTGTGCATAATAATTAATTTATGTGAAATTTATCAAAATAATACATTCTTAAATAAAATGCATTAATTGTTTCATCCTTTGAAAGTTATGTATATAGAAATTCTTTGAAATTACATTCTTTTATAAAACATAATCAACGATCTATATAAAAATTATAACTTTAAAAAAGAATATTAAATGTCAACTAATTAAATAAATATTTAAAAACAGTACTTATTAAGAGCACGTGTTAAATATCAAGAAAAGCACGTGTTAAAATAACTCTTGATGAGATTCTGCAGAGTTCTCTAGAGAAATTCTCGAAATTCTAGTATTAATAAGAAATTCCTTCTGCGAAAACTTTGCATTGTTTCATAATTTGGAAAAATTTAATCAATCAAAGTTAACTTAAGAGAATTACGTACTTTTTTTTTTTAAGAATTTTGTGCTATATAGTTATTATTATTATTATTATTATTATATCAAAATTACATGTGTATAATATTTATACATATATATATCTCCCCTTCATTTAACTTTTTCATTTCTTATTAATCGTCAATAATAAATGTTCGTGATAACTATAAAAAAATCTCTTAATTATTTTTTGATTACTTTTCGTGTTCTTTTTTTTCAGAATGTTTTTGTTTGAATTTCATTGAAATAAAAGAACAAAATGGCAATATCACTCTTGTGACACGTAATTTGTCGCATCTTCGCAAAACTTTTCCGTTATCTCTTTTTATAGTTGTTCCTTCGAACTTTCCCCTCGACCAATTTCTTTCGTTTTCCTTTTTTCTTTTCCTTTTTTTCTCTCTCTTCGAAACGATTTTGTCCAAGGATTGTCCAAGTGAAAATCGATAAAAGTGAGAACGATGATGATTAATTGACACAATAATGAAATAAACGAGGAAAATATATTTCGTTATTTAGGACAATAGATTTTATCTAAAATTTTAGATAAAAATAAGATCGAGAAAGTAACAAAAGAAGATTTTTCTTGTTTTTATTCATAATCCTGATGAAACGCTCACCTGTTGCTCTCAAAGGAGGAAAATATTTTAAGTATTGAAAGTTTTAATTAAGATAGTTCGAAGCACGAATTCAATAAATTTTTCGAAGATAATTAAATTCAATTATTCTCCGTTTAAATCGTCTTAATTATTTATTTTCCAGAATTTTAATGATTCTAATAATTAATTGATGATTATATGTTTTTACGCAAGAATTCTCATTCAAATATTACTATTATTATTATTAATAGATTAACTAATTAGAAAACTTATTTAATTGAGCTAGGTAATGAATGTTCTTCTTATATTTAAATCTCCATCATTTTAATCTTTAATTTAATCACGTAATTATTTCTAATTTCATTTCAGAATAATCGTCTATTTTCAATATCCATTTCAACTTTAATAATAATTTTCAACATTGATATTAACTTTCCATGGTAGAATCTGTGTACAAATGAATCCAATATTTAATTAAATAGAATGTAAAGTAAAAAAAATAAATCAAACTCCGATCAAATATTTTTTTCTAAAAATTTCTCAAGTTGTACAAGCCTCGCTTTTAAACTAAATTTAATTAAAATTTAATTTCAAATTTAATTTTGATTAAAATATTCTTCTAATGATATATTTACAATTTTCACTGTTTATTTTAATATTCATAATATTATTTGCAAATTTCTAATCCATTCTAAATCAAATAATATAAATAATTCCGAATATATTAAAACGTTCCAACCATTCAATTCTTGAAAAAGATTCAAATTTCTCAAATTATTCAAATATCAATTGCCAAAAAAATTTAAATCGAATTCTACACAAATTTCTAGCAATTACATTTTCTATACTGTATCTTCCAATTAATTTTCCTATTATTAGAGCAACTTTTCCAAAAAAAAATATAGGATAGAATTGATATGAAATTGATATCAAAAGGGAGAGAGTTTAACTTTTTGCTTCCTACGCTGCTTAAAATAATTATAAGTCTGCTCTGCGATAATTAATGGGGAAATTACGAGTCGTCGAATATCTCAAAAGCTTTCTCGTCCATGGTATTATGGCATTAAAGGAAGGATGCTTCTTAAAAATGTTGCAAAAACATCCCCGAAGACAGCTTCAGTATTTCACTTTTGCTATTTGAAATATACGTGCGTTAAGCAAAGAGTATCAGAGTATAAATCCCCTTTACAACATCGTCTTTTTATTTATTACATGGAGGTCCCTAATTGTATGGAACGAAAGTATTCTATGGAATCCAATTATGGAAACGTCGAATTTTCAAGAATGCACACTCTCGAAAAATTACAGACTATGTTTGACCAAAGTTTGATGAAAGAAACACGATGATTATAGATTATTTTTTATTTTTATTCTTTTAGATGTGTATCATTAGAGTATATCATTTCACACTCTTCTTTTTAATTTTTATTCATTGTTATTTATTGTCTTGTCAGTTATCAATTGTTTCGAGTCGTGCAAAATTGTATTTCATCAATTATAAATAATTTCTAAGTGTCTTTAAAAAGATATTCACAGTTATAAATTCTAATAGAGGCTCTTTGAAATTGTATTCTATCAATATAAAATTAAGAATAAGTATATTATGAATCATAAGCTATGAATTAAGTTTGATATTTTTCATTTATAATTTTTATTCTTAAAAGGAAAAACTTATTAGTAATTTAAATCTAAAGAAAATTGAAACACCATCATTATTATCCTATCTCTATTTTTCAATTTTCAAAATTACTCTTTATTCGCTATTTTCAAACCATATCAAATTACTTTCTCTTTACAGGAAATCATATCTTCTCACAAAATTAACTATTTCAATTAAACCTCAAAAAATGAACTAATTAAATTCTTCAAAATCACCTCTTTTTTAAAAACCAACTTCCATCAAACTATCATAAACTTAATTCCACCAAAATTTCACAATATCCTTTCACAAAATTAAATACTCTAAAATTTCCAACCATTAAACTTCTTCGAAAACGAAATCCTTAACTCTTCGAAATCCCTTCTTTCCAACTATTTCAAACCAACCTCATCAAATCATTTCAAACCTCATTTCACTAAGTAAAAAAAAAAAAAAAAACCAAAAAATCTTCAAACTCACCTCTTACTACCATTGTTACAAACCAACCTCCATCAAATCATCATCAAAAACTTCCACCAACTTTACAGCCTATCATTATTCTCCCAAACTGTGTGATCACGTAAATCCTCAAAAAAAAAAAAAAAAAAAAAAAAGAAAGAAAAAGAGAAAAAAAAATCAATCATAGCAATCCTCTCATCGATCCAATCCAAAAACAAAAAACCAAAGTACCGTTTCGCGAAATTCGACAAACAGATGTGTATGTATGTGTGTGTGTATGTGTGCGTGCGTGTGCGAAGCTCACCTGTTGCTGAAGAATCGGCGACGTGTCGCGGCTCCCTCCGGGAATCGAACCGTTTTCCGTTTCACGTGGGTCACAATGTAAGGGTGTCGAGGCTCGTCTGATCGACGCCGAGCGTCGCGAGTTTGCTGTCTACGCGGGATATGGCGATCAGGGCATCGCGACGCCACCCTTTATACGCGTGTAACCCGCCTGTGTGCCGTGGGCCGCGCGTGTCGGCCACCCTCCTTCACCCCTTCCCATTCTTCCCTCTTTGTTCCGCTTTCCGCGCGGCGAGCAAGATATCCCCCGTCTTTCTCGCGCGTGTCGTCGCGTGCGCATAAGCGCGCGTCCCGCGATCGGCATTCAATTCTCCTTTCGTCGCGAGCCGTCTTCGAAGTCGGTGCGACGAGATAGCTGCGCGTCGATACCTTGGATATTATATTGTAGTTGCTTTTATTTGGATGATTTTTGTTTCGCTTTGTTTGGAATCGTGGATTACTTATCATTGTTTCTTTTTTTTTTTTTTTTTTTTTTTTTTTGGAAGGAATTTTGTTGAGAAAGTGTCGATGAAGTTGTAGATTATATTTGTTTCTCTGGTTTTTCTTTAATATTGGACGATTCTTTTCTTGGTGATTTTTAGATTTGTGGAGAAAGTAGAGTTGAGTTTGGGTAAGGGTGGATGGGTGAGAGACTTTCTTGTTTCTTTGGATTTTGTTTATAAAGGTTTGGAAGAAAGATTCTTTTTCTGGATGAATCGTTTGATCAGGGATTTGATTTTTTCTTTTAGTTGTCTCATTGAAAAAGTGAAGTTGTTTTCTTTTGTGAATTTGGATTTTATTTATATTTTTTTGAGAAAAGGAGTGAAAAGAGCAATTGTTTAAATTTTGGAAATTTTGGAAAGTGAATGATGCTTTTTAAAGAGAGTAGTGGGATCATAAAAATTGTGAACATTGATTTATTTTTTTTTTTGTTATTACTCTAAAAAGTGACTTTTAAGAAAGTAATTAATTAAGTATTTTTTGAGATAATATTTTAATCAAAAGTGATATTTAAGATAATTCCACTTTAAGACAAAAGTTTGTGAATTTAGAATAAGTTTAAACCTTGATTTTTTTTTTATCAAGTAATTACTTTACTTTTTAAATTTTTTTTAAAAAAATGTAATCAAGTACTTTATGAATTTGGGATTCATAAGTTTCTTTTATCTGATTCTTCAAAGAAAAATATTGTATTTCTATTTATATGAAAAGAAATGACTAAAGAAGGATTAAAACTTAAATTAATTGCAACAGTTTTACATTACATTTATTTTCATTTACATTTTATATCCGTATTTAAATGAAAAGTTTGCTCTTCTAACTTAAATTTTTAATCTTAATCAAATATAAATAAATCAATAAATATCAGAAATGATTTTGAAAGGCATATTTACATGAAAAATATCTCAATTGTGTTCAAAATATAATTACTCTTATACATCTACACCAATTAACATTTATGTGTAAAATGTCATCCATTTGTAGTTTACTCTATTACCCAAAGTCTTAAAATATTAAATCATTATCAATACCAATAAATTTTCACTAATTAACTTTTAATCTATGTATACATAATTCAATATGTAAATCGTCAGTATCCATGCATCTTTATCAATTAAATTTTAATCTATAATTGAATACAAATTTGAAACTGCACATCCACAAATTTTCCATTCTTCGATCCTCATATATTCACAATTTATACAATCCATTTGCAATTCGTACGTTATTCAAAAATCGAATCATAAGAAATTCCACAATTGGTATTTCACTATTTTTTCTCTAATTCTTGCAACATTTCCACTAATAGAAAGCATCGAAATGCCATGATAATTTTCAATTTCAAAATCATTGTACTTTTCTCCTACGTAGATATTCATTTAATAATTTTTTTTTACAATTTTCAATAATTTTTTTGAGTAATTTTTATACCGTTTAAGTAATCAGGTATAAATATTAATATATTATTATAATAGGTATATATATATACATAATTTAAATCCAATTTTCACATAAAATATCGCGACAAACAAACTTAATTCAAAGATAATGGACATCCACAAAATTCTTCTTTCACTTTCAATTCTAAAATATATTGATAGTAAAAAAGCTTCATTTTTTCTTGAAATCGTAGAAAACTGTTGGATAAACTTCTAAATAATTCCAGATTCCCTTTAACTTCGAATAAAGAGAATAAAAGCGAATAAAGAGAAATTCAGAAGACAAGGGGGAGAGAAGGGTTATTGGTTTTCTCGTCGGATTATACTCGCTGTGACATTTTACCTTTCGCGAAAATACGCGTCAACACGCATATTTTAGGTGAAAAAAAAAAAAAAAAGATTGTTCGACGATTTTTCCAGCTTAATTGGTCGACTGCGAAAACACTTGCAAAATATTGTATGGAGGAGTTTGCTTTTCGATTCGTCGGAACGAGGCGAGAGGTGTTTTAGCCGTGTCGAAAGTGAATTATTAAGACGAAAGTGCAGAGATACTGGTGGTGGAAGCTCGATAGAGATTGGATTGGATGGAGCGTAAAATTTAGCGTGATCATTCGATTTATGATAGTTCACTGAGATTTTGGAAACGCTGCTTTTGGATGAGAATTAGGTATATTTTAATATTTTCATATTTATTCAACTTTTGTATTTAAAAATTATTGAGAATATATTGTTTTTAAAAGTTATTGGGAATGTACAAGATAAATTAAAGATAAAACTTGATATTTTTGGAAATATTTCGATATTGTAAGTATTTAAAATTAATATTTAAAATTTATGATATTTTAATAAATCATTGGGAATAATTGAACATAGATAAGTCTTAGTAATAATAATATTTTTGATTGATTGAATTATGACAAATGTCTTAAAAAGTCTTATATCTGTCATAATATTCCTTAATAAAATAGAACCTGCAATCTTGCATTTACAATATCGAAAAAATCACATAATGCATAAATCATATTTGTGGAATAGTTATCCTAGCTGACAAAGCTGTCAACGAAAATATTAAGTTAGAAAATATTAGAAATAGAGAACGATGCAAGACCACGATTATTATATAATTTTTTCATAATTTTTTCTTCGTCTTCTTTTTTTTTCAAATTTCCTAACTTTGTTTTAAATTAAATTATTCTTCCATTTTCAAAATTTAAGAAATTTCCAAACGATTTTCAATTAACAATTAGACAATTCTAACGTCATCTGATTAAAAATACTCGAAATCATTTAATCCAAATCTGATCTAAAATTTAAAAACAAATAATTCCAATCATTTGTTTTTTAAAATTTTCATTTTTTAAAAATTTCATCAAGCACGGGGTAAAAATATTCCTTGATCAATTCTTATGGAAGAGAAGTAAGATATGCGCATGCATGAATTGCCACTTCTTAGATTCTAGAAAATGCACACATCTAGGTAGTCCCTGGTCAAACGGTTCGTAATCGAGCATTTACAACTTTTCCTTGTGTTTCCTCGATCGAGGAATATCCCATTGCACACGTGCTCGAAGACGATGGAACTGTCTGCAAACATTCTATCACATTTCGCGTATTTAACTTCGATCATTGACGAGGAATATGAGCAAACTTTTTGCTAACTTGTACGATAATTGATTGCTCTGAAAGATTACATCATTTGTTTTATTCTTTTTGTCGTTTAGAATATTTAGAATATTTAAAAATTTTATTATTTAGAATTTTAGAATATTTTTAATCGGTGGATAATAATTTTTCTTTCTTTGGAATTTAATAAAAGGAGAAGGAAGAAGTTTATATAAATATCTAATAATAGTTTTTGAATGAAAATTTAATTAGATAAGAAAGTTTTTGAGTGTAATTGAAAAAATGTATATATTTTTTGATTAAGAACAAAATTTTGATGAAATATTTTTAATATATCTTTATATTATGTGATGTAAAGTAGTAAAAGATACGTGGAAATAGTTTCAAAGCAATGCTATAGTTATAGTTTAACTTCGGTTTCATAATAGAATATTCAGTTCAAAGTAAGATTAAACTTCGAAATAGTATTCTACTCTTTAACCTGTATCCTATCTACGAATTAGTTGAAAATCGTGAATGTTTAAGGGATTAATATTTCTATTTCCTTACAAAGTTTCTCTTATTTTAAAAATTCAGAACATATAATGTTCAAATTTAATTTTAATATATTATTCTATTATTTTTATGGATTTTGATATGGATAAAAAATAAATATTTTTGTTGTATATTGTTATTGTTATCATGGATATATACTATTGTTATATATCCATGAATGACTAAAGTTAAAAAAATATTGGACAATCTTAAATTCTTCTTAAAATAATATAATCACAAGGATCATAAAAAATAGACTTAATTGTTGGAGAAGATTTGTTCTCTGAATCCAAAGTAGTTCTCAAATCTCTTGAAATACTCGAATTAACGATGTCAACTTTGTCTCTTCAACTTTGTAATCTGAGACAAATCAAATATATTTTACGTGTAAAGCTGTTAAAATAAAAATTCATAGGTCGTATAAAAAAGATATATCGAAATTGAAAAATTTACAAGTATTAGAAAAAAATTGGGAAATATAGAGAATTATAAAAAGAATGACAAAAATAGAAAAATTGCAATTTTATTTTCATTTCATTAATCCTCTTCGATTCGATTCAAAAAATTTCTTATCTCATTTTATATGATTACTGTACATGAGATAGCTTATGGAAAAAGTTTTCCACCAGTCAGTGTACACTTATTATGATTCATTGAGAGATTTTCATGCATAAGACGAGCGATCATTACACGGTTTCTCGCTTACCAGTTCAAAGGTGACATAGCTCGCTTTCTGTTTGCAGAATGCGATGAAAATTGCATTTTGTCTGCAAGGTAAATCACGTTTGAAACTTTGTGTCCATATAATTTGATCAGTTTTAATACAATCACATATATACACGTTACATATATAATACGTGTATTTTTAAAAGATAAATTTTATTCTTCTTATTAAATTAATTCTTCGTGAATAAAGATGGAAAATTTTTTTGAATTAATACTTTTAATTGAAAAAAAAACTTTTGAATACAAAATTGAAGTAATAAAAAAAATTAGGATATCGTATATTAATATTACGAATTATTTATAAAATTTTATTAAACACATTCGACCAAATCATGATTAATAACTGCATTAATAATGATATATTAATATATTAATGTGATATATTAATAAAATCTATATTTGCATAAGCAGTTTCGTGACAAAAATATGATACAAATGTATTTCCAATAAATAATTTCGAAGGAACTCAATTTAAAAAATATATTATATTTTACACTACATAAAATAATATACAATTACACGTTTCTTTAGCTTACTATATCATATTATATTCATTTCATTCTATTTTACACGTTTCTTCATATTTGTGCACAATTTCCTCGTTCAAAGAAGAAACGCCTCCAAAAGTCTCCAAATCAATCTCACCATACATCGCATGGAATCGATGGATTGAACGATGAATTAACCATATGTTTCAACGCTTTTTCGATATTCGACGGGTTGATGTTAATAACAACGGACAGCCAATCGCGATTAAGCGAGCCATTAAAGCGTTAATTAACATCGACGGCCCGGAATCCTTTGTATCGTAATTGTTACCTTCGCTTTCCCCCCTCTTCCGGTGACGCATTAACACCGTATCGGTGACAAGCCGCGTTCAATTCGTCGAATAAAATGTCTGACATTGATTGAGACATCGCACGACCGCAGAATCGAATTTCATCAACACGTGTACACCATTAAAGCCCAAATGAAAAATAAACAATCCAATTCGTACTCGACTCGACGCGATTCGCTCCGTCTCTCCGCCATTTGGCTTTAGGATATCTTCAAGTGTGCATGTAGAAGAGGGACGATCGGGTATGAATATTTCTTTTCTTCCTTTTTTTCTTTCTTTTTTTTTTTTAGAATACTTTTTACTTTCAATGGAAAATCGAATTCGTTCGCTCGTAAAGGGGAAAGGGGGGACCCGTTTTCTACATGACAATAGATGTCAATAGGCTTTTATTACAGTGACGAGTAGGCGTGCAGTATACTGGATGTATAAAACGTGGGGGTGGAGAATACTCGTCTCATCAGAAGGCGAAATTTGATGGCGAAACGAAAGAACGTAGGTCTTTCGTAAATTTCCCATTTTTCTTTTTCTTTACTCTCTTGCGTTCATTTTGAAAAGAAATATTCGTGTTATTCAAGGATATTTCATAGAAAATTTAAAAAAAGAATTTTTAATTATATGCAATTATTACAGTGGCTGTGTGCAGAAAAATTTGATTTTTAATATATCGTTATCATTCATCGTATCTATATTGGATATTTTTCTATGATGCTCTCTTATTAACGATAACGTAATCAAATACTATAAATGTGTTTCCAAAATTTATCACCCTCAAGTACAAATAAAACATCGACACGAGTTTTCACTTTCGAGGGCGTCACGCAATAGATCAGATATCGAAATTCGAAATGCAATAGGATCTAAATGCCAATGAATTTAATAATAGTGGATAAACAAAGCTTCAAATTCTTCAATTTCTTGTAAAAAATACTTATTGCTTTTAAATATTACATATCTTTTCTAGGTGTACACCTTACATATCCTCATAGGTGTACACCTTAAAATTTGCAATTTGATTTTTCCAAACGAATAAAATTACAATTGAAATTCTATTTAAAATCGATTTTAATCATTTCTTATCGTAGAACGCTGAACAGCTTTGTAAAAATTTCGTTCCCCCCTCGAGGAAGAATTAATCTTTCCAAAATGTAAAAAATGGCGGGAAATTCAGGAGGATTCGAAATAATCGAAAGCAATAATCAATGGATAATTATTTATAAACAATTATTCAATATAATAAAATTTATCCCATACATCGTGAAAGAAACGAAACACATAAATAAAATACGATAATGAAATTTAAAAAACCACGCTTCTCATACTAAATCTTTTGAAAAACACTAAATTAATACCGTCCCCTATATGTCTACAACGCAATAACATCCTCGTGTTTAATAAAACCAGAAATAACGCTTGTAAAATAAAATAAAATTCTATTCTCGACGCGATCGTTTTCCTTGATAAATCAAACGAATTCCGAAATCCCCGCCGATCATCCGGCTCGCGATTAATTTTCCATGAGAATCGAGGGGGAGAGGAGGGGAGGGATCGAGTGCGAATGCGGCCAAGTTATCGCGTAATATACGAAAGAGAGATTGTCAGATAACAGGATATACAGTTTTATTGGGTCAACGATGGGGCCACGCGCCACGTCCACGTTTAGGATACGTGACGATTGCCCGGTCTGTGCCGGTGTCGATTCACACGAGGCTCATCCGACGGACGTGTCGCGTGAAAACTCGGAACTAATGACACAAACGATATCCCATTAGGAATGGAGAGAGAGAGAGAGAGAGAGAGAGAGAGAGAGAGAGAGAGAGAAAGAGAGACGGTTGATGAATTATGTTTGAGAGGAGGAGGGAAGGAGGATGGCGGTCTTTTTTATCTTTCGCCCCGTGGGAAGAAGCGTTGATATCGTAAGAGTAGTTAGATTGTAAATCACCTGTCGATACCATTCGCGGGCAGCTGGGATCGTTCGCGCCGATCTTGGCGCGCTAATAAGTTTCTGGTGATCGATAAAGAATGCGTGGGCGGTTGGGACGAAGGAGAACGGAAGATGGCTCGTTTCGGATTTTCGATGATTTTTGTGATCTTGTTAGAGAGATGTGAGGTGTGAGAGGTGTGGGATGATGGTAGAATGGTTGAATTGTAATTGGTTTGAATAATGTTGAAGTTTGGATGAGTATGGGGGTTGTTTCGGCATGACCTTTTACCCGTGTTCTATTTGCGTTATTTATTTAATAAGGATTTTAAATTTGCGGGAAGGAGTGATAATTCATTATAGAAATTGTAAAAGTTGGCCGTATTTAGTATGGAGGAAGAAGAATAATTTCTTTGATTAATCTCCTTTTCTGGATTTAATTTAAATATGGTATTTTTAAATTGAATAATTATTCATAAGAAGAAATATAGACAAGTTTTTACACAAATGTAAGTTCAAGTAATTCTAACTCGAAGAAATAGAAGTGAAAATAATGTTTAAAATTATTATATTATTGCAAATATGGAATGATTTTTTAAAAATATTAATCTTCTTGTATATTTAAATTCTTCTTTTGTTTCTAATATTCTTCTAATATTCTCTGTATTCTAATATTCTAATATTCAAATAGATCAAGCTGCATGCACATTACATAATAAAATATGTAGAGTAGAATTAATAAAGCATATAGAGTTTAGAAAACTTTGACCGATCACCAAATGCCATGACCAAGAAATTTCTTCGATTTTTCTTCAAAGTTTTCCCGTGATCTATCTATATTTTTTCCATTTAACCATTTGCTTATCCAAATAGAGAAATCCATCATTCTCGACATCATTTTTTCTATAATGCAGAATAATCATTACAAAGAAAAATAAATATTCGAAAATTTCCTCTTCATAGATCATATGCAGATGTTGAATCAGTTATTTGAGAATAATTCTATGCTCATCACACTGAAAATCCAACTTTCCAAATTTCTCACAAAGCATTTCCAGCAGGTCACTCTGTCAAGAATCTTCCTTTAAAAACGATCCTCTCGCGAAACATAATGTCAAAATATTATGTAACACGATTCAAAGGATTTTAGTCTTCCTGTTGGACAATGCAGTTACTTTCAAACACTTTCAACGTAGTTTCATGTGTTTTTTCTTATAGATTTCTTCACACAAAGTGAATGAAATTCGATCTAATTTGATAGAACGTTTCGAAAGTTTTATTTTAACAAGTATAACAATCATTTTTATAATTGTAAAAATTGTATTAGATACAATTTGTAAAAAGAATATCTAAAGATATAATAAATGGTGCGTGTATAAGTATGAAAATTTTAATGGTATTTACAAAAGTAGGATTTTAATTAGCATTTGGTTAGATTCTTACTTTTGCAGATTGTTCTAATGCAGAGATTTTTTCTAACATTCTATAAATAATTAAATTTATCTTTTTGGCAAATTTTGCTTCCACGTTGTATTAATTTTCTTATTACAATAATTTTATATATATGTGTATTTTTTAAACTTATAAAAATTTTATAAAAATACCATTTAATCTTAAATTCAAAGTGAAAGAAAGAGCAATTATTGGCACGAATACTTAAAACTAAATTTGTCAGTATCTCTCTGTCGAATTTAAGAATTTAATTTCTGTAATAATAAAAAATAAAATCTCTGCAATTATCAAAGAATCAATGATTCTTCTCACCACCTTTTTCATCGTCACCCTTCTTGTACGACCATTTCTTGCCATCTTTATGATCTTTCTTTTCCCCATGCATATTTTTATATTCGTGATGACTATCCTTGCCCTCGTTAACCTTATAACCTTTGTCCTCATAATGGTGATCGCCTTTTGCGTACTTGCCTTCTTTACCGTACTTTCCCTCCTCGTCGCCTTCGTTATGGTGTCCCGATTTATAATGGCCACCCTTGGACATTTTGTGCTCGCCATACAGCTCACCTTCCTTCTCCATATCCCCATCTTCGTGAAATTCGTCGAAGAATTCCGTTCGCTTTTCGAACTCGTCCTGAAATAAAAAAAAAAAAAAAAAAAGAAAAAAAAAAGAAGAAGAGAAAAATAATATTAGAAAGTAATATCGATCGAGACAAATTGATTCATTCCACAGGATTTACCTTTTCGTGCACCGAGTGTTGTCCTTTGGTATTGTAACCCTTTTGATGCTCACCCTTCTCGTCGAATTCCGCCTGTTTCTCGCCTTTCTCGTCCTTTTGATGCTCCTCGTGGTAACCACCCTCTTCCTTGTGCTCTTTCTCATCGCCATCCTTCTCATCGTAATAATTGCTCTGCCGTTCCTTGTCTTGATGACCCTTATTGGCTTTCTCGTTCTCGTCCCAGCTCTTATAGACCTATAAAAAACACAAATTAAACACATAATAACTTCCTTATTGATGTTTTGGTATTCACACATCGATATTGAATCTAATTAATATTTTCTTCGTCACTTTTCTTCTTCATTCTATCGTATTCTTATAGGGAATCTTTATTGTTCACGAAATAATAATAAATTCGAAGAAATAAAAAAAAAATTAAAAAAAGTATCGAAAAAACTTACTACGTGTAATGTACATATAGATTTTTAAAAATTGATCGATCGAAACATAAATATTGAATATTGGTTGATAATTGATCCAATGGTATTGACATCTCCTACCTTCTTTCCCTTCTCACCCTCGCTCTTATGATGTTCCTGTTCCTGTTCCGTGGCTCCACCCTTCTCAAATTTCTTCTCACCACCCTTCCCACTTGCGTCATCTGCTGCACCCTCCTTCACACTCTGATGACTTTCATTATCGTGCGTGCCATCACTTACAACATCCTCCTCTTCCTCCTCCTCCATTTTATCATTATACTTGTGAGCGTATCTTCTGTATCCCTTATCTTCATACTTTTTATACCTTTCAGAATTATCCTCTTCAGTTTCAGGCAATTTTCGATTATTCTGCCGATCTTCAGTCTGATGATCTTCATCTTTACGAATTTCATATTTCCTGTTTTCGTCGTTTTCGGAAGTTGTGACCACTGTCACGTCATCTGAGGATGCTTTCTTAATTTCTTCATTGTCTTCCTTCGTATTTTCTTTGTCTTCGTTCGAATCATCTATTTTTGATTCATTTTCGACAGTGGACTTTACCTCAAATTGTCTCTGTGGCGCCATTGTAGGCAACAATGGCGGATAGTAGTACATGTGACTAGAGGAATACAGATTGGATTCTGTGGAAGGTATTGGAGTGGATACAATTGGATTCATTGAATCAATAATCGCTGGAATATTTTTATACGATTGAGTCACTGATGAAGCTTTGAAGGATGGATCTATATCTGATTCACTAACGTATTTTTTATTGTTATACATTGGTTTGTTTGTCGAGCTTTCACTCTCAAAGAAATCATCTCTCTCAGTAGTTTGAACATTTTTATAAGAAGGATTGTCTCTATTTGATTTAAAGGATTCATTACGATCAGTGGATGTAGAAGGTTTGTTCTTTACTGTAGAATTTTCTTCGTATAATTTTCTCTTCGATTCAGATGAAGAGATTTTTACTGGATCCACTATCTTTGAATAATCTTTCGAGTAATCATCGTTGATCTTCATAGCATTTGAATAATTTTTATCAGAGACGTTAGAATTTACTTCATCGAATTTTTCTAAATTACTCTCCTGACTTTTCTCAGCAGATTTGATCACAGATGAAAATGGTCTAGGCTCAATATTGTATTTGATCTGCAAGCCCAATTTCCTCGATTTGTTTTTACCTTTATCGTTAATCGATTCTTCAGCCCTAGGATAATTATCAACATTTTCTAAGAGTCTAGATGCTTCTTGCTTCGTTAAAGATTTATTTTTCATTCGTTTACGTGTTTTCTTCCTTTTATTTGCTTTGGTTGAATAAGAAATATCACTTGGAGATGTGGTAGGAGAAGAATTTGACGTCATATGAATTCTAGAGGATTTACGTTTGAAAGTTGTGACTGGGTACTTGTACTCCCTGTTTTGAGATTTTGGATTTTGCTCGGTTTTCAGTGATTTTGGAGCGTGTTGGTTGGCTCTAGTATCGTATTGTGGAGTTATTGTTATTTTATTGGGTTCTATAGTTCGTGGTACTTCGTAGTAGAGACTGGTAACATCTGGAGTTACTGGATTTGTATTTTCATTACTGTAAGTTATGGTATCTGAAAATTAACGTTTTATTCTTTTATTATAAGCTAAAAATTAAGAAGAAATTAATTGGTGCAATAAAAATTTTCAATGTTAAAATTCATTTGAAGAGATAATAAAAAATTAATAAAATTCGTCATTTTGTTTTTCATCAATATTTTTATCAACTATATAATTCGATCACTATTAAAATTTCACAGTGTGATAATAATTATCACTGTAATACAAATAAAAAATAATAACTCTTCTTTAAATATAAAAAGTAACAATAATAATAAAAGCTAATATTTACGATATTTTAATTATCAGTTTTAATGTCAATATACTTAATATTTTAATTATTCATTTTTTGCTTACCAAGATTATCATTAAAAGTATCCACAATTTTCCTTTTTTCTTTCTTATTAATCTTCCGTGGCTCGTATTCCACGATAGATAAAACGTGCTCTAAATTTTCCAAATCCTTCACGTTATCAACGTTTACCATCGCTATATTCGATGGATCCACTCGTTGATCCAACGTTTCATCGTTATTCCTTTTTTTAGGAATTACATTTCGAGTCTCTACTAACATCAAAATTTTGTCATTAATTTTTCTAACATTATCGCCATTTAAAAATTCCGTTTCTCTTGGAGTTGTAAAGACTGTTCTCCTTGTTCTGTCGATTTTTGCATTTATTGTCGTCCATCTTGTTCCCTGCATACAGATATTTAAAAATAATTAAAAACAATGAAGAAAATCAATCATAATTTCCTTTAACAGAATCTTTTTACGCAAAATTTGTCAGGATAATTTTATTTTAATTTTATCTCATTCAGAAATGAAATGAAATATATTAATTTAATATTGTATTAAATTTATAATCTTTTTTTCTCTGCCAAAAAGTTTTCATGTTTTTAAAATAAAAACATTTAATATTTTAAAAGTTATTTAATTTATATTTTAACAATAGGATATTGCAATATTAATTTTACAAATAAAATATGTAGTCATACGTTTCAACGAATAAAATTACTTTAAAAATATATAATTTACGAAAAATTAATTACGTTCAAAAAGCTCTAATTAAAATTATACACTTTTAATCCTCATAATCAATATCCTTGTGATCACATTTTTAAGAAAAGTGTGTCATAAAGAGGTTTTGTCAGAAATCTTCAAACAGAATTAAATATAAAAAAATGAAATTATAAATTACAAATACTTCTAAATATTTCCACCCCTATTAAAATATTTAAATCAACTTTGGAAAAATAATAGCCTCCAGTAGTTTTTACCAAATTCCAATCTTTAAAAGTTTAAAAAAAATCACATATGTGTAATACACAATTTTAAAAATAAAAAATTCAAGATAACATTTAACATTAACAAGATAAAATAAAAAAAAACATAATTTATAGAAAGATATGGATAACGTTACCAGACAAAACAACAAAAGCAAGAGGCTGACAGTCCATGATCCAGGGATTCCCATTTCTCGTCGGGCACAGGACGAAGACTGAGCTGTGTTTCGAGTCGAGCTAGGCAATTATATCGGGTAGTTTCTCGATCTCAAGAAAACAATCCTCGAATGATATGACAATTTCACACCGATTAGAAGGCGAGATTTAACCGATCGAAACAGTAAAGCCGTCATTCGATTATCGATCAATCGCAAGATCCTTTCGGCTTCCTCCTTTCTCTGCCTATAACACAATATAACATTGTTGCACAAGATAGTCGCTCGGCCGAATCGTGGTAAGTATCTTGAGCTCAATCGAATGAATTACGTAAGATTTTGTGTTTATCTTTCCCTTTTCTTCTCGTTTCTCTTTAATTTTGCTATTTTTTTCTTTTTTTTTTCTTACTTTATATATATGGGTTCCAAAAATATTCGGCTATATTGGATATTTTATGAACAATTCTATATAAAAAGAAAGAATTTTTGATATTACTTTAATTTGGAAATATCAGTTTAGTTTGACAAGAAAATATGACAGTAAGTATAATTTTTTTTTTCATTGATTGATAATTTGATTTTATTTATATTATATTATATTTCTTTTTCTCAAATCTTTGTTTTCTGATATGAAGGAAAGATTAAAATATCGTGTTTTATAATTAGACAATTAATTAGAATAAAAATAGAAAAAATTTACATAATATAATAAATATACAAAAGAGGAGGTTGCAAATGCTTATGAATAATTTGATGTTGTTTCTTGTGACGAAAGAAACGAAACTATTAACTCCCGTTTAATATACCTACTTTCTATTTTAATTTTCCGGTGTATGTCGTTTCTTGGTAAATGGAATACGTTAAGTTGCAATTTAAACTGAAGTTATGGTCAATTCGAATAAAGATTCCATTCGAAAAGGAATTTATTGGGTGATCTTTCAAGAATATTATGCAATTAATTCAAGGATATTATGTATTTTATGCATTTTTTTATTGATTAAATTACTTATTCAATACTGATACTATTCAAATTGAAATTGCAATGGAAATTTAAATTTTGATATCAAAAATTAATATGATATCAATATGATAATAAATATTAAAAATTGAAGTTTAGGTAGAATTATACATTTTCGTGATTCTTTCTTATGTAAAATTAATTCAAATGATAGAATAATAAATATACTTTTCTAAAGCATTATTTTTTTTTCAATATCTTTAAAAAAATAATAACTAAACCAAATATAAGATATATTATTTTTACTCCCTTTTCTATATTAAAATAAAATTTACATTTTATTTATTTATTTATTTATTTTATTACATTTTCTGTTAAAAATAATTAATAATTACCATTTTTCCCATTTTTCCCTCTTTAACCTTGCATGGATGTAAATAAGAAATAAAATCATTAATCGTAACTACGTTTGTAAAAAGTTTGTTCTCAAATAGGGAGTTCATTTTGTGTATAAAAAAAGGGAAACTACGACTTCTTCAATAAACAAAGAATTAAAAATTTATTAACGATTAAATACGCCTGATAAATCGATTTGTTTCATGTTTATTATGTGACGAATTCTTTTTCCATTCGACAAAATTCACGATTCTGTTAAAACGACGAATTAGTTTAATAACATTTATTGTGATTTATTTCGTAATACGTACCTTGATTAATTATGCACAACCCTCGATGAATCGAATGACATGATCGCGATCATGTCATGATGTTTAATTTCAATCGAATTATCAGAAAATCGTATATAAATTCAAATTATATAACAAATTTGCCTGTTTATTTATTTTTGGAATTTAAATATCTCTTTATAAATATGATAGGAAAAAGATTTATTTAAAAAAACGAGAATTTTAACTTTTTTTGTAACGTTTTTTGCAAGACAAATATTAATATAAACAGTCAATATATATTTTAAATGGGAATAATAAAATATGTTATATTCTGATTAAAAGGAAAAATTATATTTCTTTGTGAATATTTAGAAGATTCGCTTATATAATCGTTTCTTATCTTTCTTTTTACCAATTATGTAATCTATACAATTTCTATTCTAATGAATTCAAATTTCAAGCGATATTAAGAAATTAGACGGAAATGAAATGACACTTTATTTCTGTTACACCATACCGTTATGTATTACAATATTTCTCGCTTCATCAAACGCTAAATTTAATAAACAAGCCTCAACCGAGATTTTTGCATAATAACTTTTACATCATATCCTATTCATTAAATTTCCATTCTATTCATTTCTAATAGTAATTTTTTATTTGTCTCCAGCGTATTCCTCTTGAAAACTTACCTTTAATATTCACATCAGGTGAGCTTCGAAACACTAAACTTTTCAAACACGTTCAATGTGAAGTCAATATATTGAAAAGAAAATACTCCTGACTGATGAAAATTTTTGCATAAAATAGTGAAAAATAAACAAAACCAAAAAAAAAGAAAGAAAAAAAGAAAATAAAGGAGAAAAGATTTTCGTGAAATTATGATAAGTTTTCCAAAAAAATTTCCTCCTTCATCGATTCTTGTCCAATGAAAGTGTTTTGTGTTGAAATAGAAGAAAGAGAGAGAGAGAGAGAGAGAGAGAGAGAGAGAGAGAGAGAGAAATTCTGGGATTAATTCTTAGTGGAACGAGAAACGTCAAAAGTTTGTGACGTATCTTCTTAAAGTGAACTGGTAGGATGACGTTCATTAACTAGCTGGAGGCGCAATCTTCGGCTCATCTAGGGATTTTATTCGATTCATGGAGGACTGACCTCGTTTACGTCGTGAATTTGGTCGAGAAATTAGTCTTTGATCTTTTAAGGTTTCGCTTCTGGATCTCGTGTAGGCATATTTTAATTTTCATTCGTTCTTCGTTTTATTTCATTCGTTTAATTTCTTCTTTAATATTGGGAATAAAATGAAGAAAATTGATTGTGAAGCGAAAATGCGTTTGAAAAAATTCTGAAATATATATTCATCATTTTATTTAAATTATACAATAATTCGTTAAATCAAATATTTAAATCTTGTTTCAATAAAAATAATAAATCTATTACGAAATAATAAATAAGAATAAAATTTCATTGGAATTATTAATAATTTGTTTAAAGAATTCTCGATTAAATTCTTTTTGTAACTACTAAAATCATTATTTCTTTGTAGGTTCATATTACTTCATTATATATGCAATTTTAAATAAAATATATTAATTATTTCACTCTTTGAAGATTATATAAAGAGTTTATTATAAATTGGTATATTTCTATAATATATTAAACATCATTAAACTTCATTCATTAAAATATATCAGTTTTACATTTTGAACGATTCATTTTTAATAAAAACTTTTTCTTCTTCCAACTGTTGAAGTAAATTTTATTGTTAAAAGTTATCCTTAAATAACATTTTCATAAGATTTTTATTACGTTTAAATAATAAAACTGTACCACGTTTAAATATATAAATGATAAGTGATAAAAAAACTGCAGAGAAATCAATTTTAAATAATCGCGTACTACGTCTGGCCATATACGGTTCATTTCCCTTCATATTATTTTCTACTCGTGCATGCATCTTTCCTTACTCCAATTAAGCACATAATAGCTATTAAAATATTCAGAAAAAATTACCAAATAACCGATATTTCAAAATTTCTTTAAATTTTCCAAGAAAAAAGCAACAAACTTAAAAAAATTTAATTCAACTCAATATCGAAATAATTCTTACTATTGTAATATTAATAATAAACGATAAATTAAACTCTTGAATTAAAAGAGACATTAATACTACTACTAGAAAAAAGAAAAAAGTGAAGGAAGAACAATTCGTAACCCTTTAACCAGTAGAACAAATCATGTCAATCGTATCGATCGCTTTAAACGAGTCGGAAAATCCTTTTTCCAGAAACTAATTAACCTTCGAATAACCCTTGAATAAACATTCCTCGCGATGAAGTTCGATACCTCGACGTGTCTGGTTTCCTGTCGAGGAAAATAGTAATGGTTTCTTGAGTCGATATCATGCTCGTATTCATACAGCGACGCGACAATGAATCGCTTTAGCGAACCGTGGCCAATTTTACGCCAAGATTTTCACTTTTCACGCCGAGATACCTGTCGCGAAAGAGAGAACGAGCACGAATTCTCGGTTGATCGGGTAACATGATCGAGAATTATTTATTTCGTTATATTCCTCCGTCTCGTAAGGATAAGGACTCTTTGACACGTTCTATTGTGGCGGTGTTACGTTAACTGTTCGACCTCATCTTCGTAATTCTGTGATTTTTGCAATTTTACGAAATTTGTACAAGCAATATTTCACATGGATGTAAATTATTTATATTTTTATTATATTTCTTGCACGATGAAGAATAATAAACGGATGGATTTTAATTTTTTATTGCGATAATGATTTGATTATTTTTGAAAAGGATTTTTTTTACCATTTTTGCAATTTTGCGAAGTGTAAATTTCTTGTAAGTGTAAATTTTAAAAAGAGATTAATAGGTAAAAAAAAAAATAGAAATTTAAAAGATTTGTAATATTTGAAATTAAAATTTTGATCAGTTTAAAAATTGGAATTTTTCTAAAAATTCTAGTTTCACAAGTAGAGTAACGATTCAATTTCAGAAACACAATAGCAGCTCAATTTCCTATATTCCATTCCTGTTGTCGTTCTAACCATAAATATTGATAAATATTTAACTATAAATATTCTGAAATATTCGATAGTAAAAATATGAACGATATGCCGAAATATTCGAAATTCACAGAGAAAGTTATATTTCACGATATCATCAACGTTTCAGTGTCATTATCTCGTTTCAAATGTATTCCATTAAAGCTCACAAAAGCCAAAAGATACAAAAAATTACTTTCTCGTCCCTGTCGTATAATTTTATCTACAAAAAGTTCCATAATTTTTTTTAACAGGTTAAAAAATTTATTATCATTTGAAACATTCGTATCCAATATCATCTCTCATATTGTATTAAAAATATTTAAAAATATAATAAAATTCAAATGGATGAATGAAAATATGTGAAAATCTTCTTCTGTGATACTTATATACTTATTATTTTAATTCCAGTTAAATATTTTTTAATGAATTTTACTTTTTCCTCTTCTTATTTATAAAAAAATTCAAAAGTTCTGATAATTTCACTTATTTTCAATACTACTTTTTCAAATTTCCAACAATCCATTCACTATTCTTCTGCATACAAGCATTATTTTAAATTTATATAGAAAGAAAGAATATTTTGCGTTGATATTTTTTTTTTGAAATTTTACTAAAATTATCTTAGGAAATTGAAAAAGTATTAACAAATTAAAATAAAATATAAAATGTGAGCAATTGAATTTTCAATATTTTTTAAATAACATCATTTTTAAATAACGTTTTAAGTAATACGTATACTCAATTTTCTTGCTCTCTGCCAGAAAAGCACTTATCAAAGTACTTATTAAGACCATCGCCTCGAACAGTGAACGAACAGACACAATTCCATACACCTGCAACAGCTATTTACGCACGTGCTTTCTGTTTCCACGTTCGATTATTTCCTCTCCGGGTTCTTATGTGTTTGCTCTAGAATTGTGAGAGCTGCAACGTGTTTGGTTTTCTGAAGAATTTCGTCACGACAAAAGTTACCAAGAAATTGCATATAGATTAAATTTGCTGATCGATTAATTTCGGTTTGGGTGAAAATCAAAAAAGTGAAAATAAAATTTGATATTATATACATATACATATATATAGATAAATGTCTAAATTATGATTTTATTGAATGATTTATGATAATTTACATATGAATAAAAAATATGTATATTTATATAAATTTAAAATTTTTTGTCTTTCTTGTAATATATTTTTTTCTTCTTTTTTTTATTTTTTTTTCTTATATTCTTAATATTATTTTAAACAATATTATCCTTAAAAAATTCCAATGTAGATAGAAATAAGTTTCTTTAAATGTAAATATTCATCGTTATGACTAGTTGTAGAATCAATCTTTTAAAGAATTCATATTTGCACATTAATAAAACTAAGTCCATATTCATGGCTGTAATTGGCTAAGCATAAATTATTATATGTGATACATATTTAAAAAAACATACTTCGTCATTTAAAAATTTAATGACCACTGCTGGCAAACCATTTCTTCCCCGATTCGTGTCCACCCTTCTTTCCATATTTTCTATCATGTTGATGATGACTGTTGTGACCTTCATCGAGCTTTCTACCTTTTTGCTTACGATGATGATGGCCTTCTTCATGATGCTTCTTCTTACCATGATGATGCTGATGTACCAATTAATATTAAATTTAAAGAATTTATTATATATTTTAGGTTATTTATAAAATATTTTACGAAGATTTGATCGATCACTTAAGAAATTTTTGAAATGTTGATAAAATGTTTGTAAAATTTATAGGAATTGACAAACCTCGCGTCGAGCAGAATCTGTGTGTCCCTTCTTCTCGTGTCCACCTTTCTTGCCCTCGTGTTCGTGATGATATCCGCCATGTTTCTCATGTTCCCCATCCTCGTGATATTCATCATAAAAATCGTGTTTCTTTTCGTATTCATCCTGTATATATATATTCATTTATTCTTCTGTTTCACAATTTTTTAATTAAATTCATCTTTAAAAAATGGAATTTTTGTATACAATCGTTTAATAAAATTAAAGAAAAATTTCTATGGAAAATTATTTAAATTAAATTAATGATTTTTTTTATTTAAACCTTTTTGAAGACACTGTGCTCTCCTTTGGTGCTGTAACCTTTCTGATGTTTGCCCTCCTCGTCGAATTTTGCACCTTTATCGCCTTCCTCGTCTTGATGATTTTCATCATAGTGATCTTCCTCTTCGTGTTTCTTCTCTTTTTCCCCCTTCTTCTCGTCGTACACTTTCTTGTGATCCTCTTTGTCGTGGTGACCCTTCTCACCTTTGTCGAATTCGTGGAAGACTTTGTAACCCTGTTTCCGGATATATGCATGTAGACACATACAAATTACATTCATGAGATAATGGAAAATTAATATAAAAGAAAAATTTTTTATTTTCCTGTCAAAAAAATCTATTCTAATATTTCTTCTATTTTTTCCTATTACTTCCAATTCCTTTCTTCTACTATTTATACTATTACACTATTATATTACTTCTTCTACTATTATACATTTGTCACATATCTTCTATTCCATTTTTCCATTTTTTCTTTATCTTATTACTCTATTATTTTCTAAAAATATACAAAAATACCATCATCAAATTGACAATATTTATTAAAAAACTAATCTTTATTATCCAAGATTTCAGCATAAACAGTAAGACACTATAAACCGGATACACGAAAAAATTTTCGCGAAGAAATTTTCTGTTTTACGACAATATCGAGGGAATTTCGGACAAGTAACGAGTTCGTTGACGAATTAATTGCCGAAAATAAACGCGAGAAGCAATATCGGGGTGGCCTTACAAAAAGAGCGAAGGGTATTGTTACCTAAGAATATTTTCTCGGTGAAGAAAGAAGCGTCGTTCGACCGCTGCAAGGATATCGTTCGAGCAACAATGACCATATAATAAATAATCCCTCGAGAACATTGGGTGGACAGTAATATTACGGGTGATAAAAAGGGAAAAGAGTCTTGGGCGATGACGAGCGTGTGGCTGCAGGAGAAGAATAGTCTCTTGCTGATGGAAAAATTTGTTACAGCTGTGTGTGATATTGCACACTGGATTTTGAATTAATTAATTAAGAATCGAGTGATTATGTTATTAAAAAGTATAAATAAAATTGATTTAATTATTATGCGTGATGGAGAAGAGAATCGTTAAAGAATGTTTTATAATTTAAAAAAGAAAAAATGAATTATCATGGTACATAAATATTTTAATTTGTTGAAACTTGAACAAATTTCTGTAGAAGAAATGATAGAATTTAATCATATCTATATTTTTATCATTTATATAATACTTAATTTATCTATTTGTATAAACTTGCTTATTTAACAATCCAATGAATTTTAAATAAATAAAAGCCATTTAAAAGATTATACTTCGCATACATTTTTTATTATATGTGGAATAATTTCGCAAAGACTTGTATAAATATGCAATTAAGCGAAATAGAATTTGATACAGAGATTTGTTCGAACAATAAAGTTATATAATACCTTGTCACCCTTCTCCTCGTCGAAGTTACGATGATCTTCCTGATACTCTGAACCACCACCCTTCTCCTCGTGCTTTCCCCCACCTGTTTGAATTAATTAGCGAGTAAAGCTTTCCACTTCTTGCCAAAAGTTTCTGAAGGAATCCACCAACCTCGATGAAAAGGTGGTGTTAATTGGGGTTATTAAGGTTTACCAAGTAACTGAGGACATTCCATTTTAGTATTAATTAAGTCTACCGTTTCTCGCATTGAGGAATGGGATAATAGAAAGGTGAAAATGAACGAGAACAAGCCTTTGATCCCTCAAGTGTTTAAAATAATTTGGAATAAACGTAAAAATGAAAAAAAAAGACTTTCTTTCTTTCATTATATTTTTAAATAGTTTAAATTATTTTAAAAAATTGTTTTAAAATAATTCTGTTTATAGAAAAAATAATTGGATAAATTTATAAGTGTAAATCACTTTAATTATACTTTAATAAATTAATCAATTGCTTTGAAAAATTTTAATTAAAAAAAAAGAAAGATTGCTCGAAAGATACTCATCTCCATGCTCACTGGCAGCAGCCACGAGGTCCTCCCTGTACCGGAAGTTCACAGGAACCTTCACCATCTTTCCATCACCAAACGATTCATCGACAAAAATCAAAAAGCTTATCAAAACTGTCAAAAATTTTGCACAAGTAATCGACACCATGCTAAATTATTTAAGACAATCGAATAAATATGACGAATCTTGAGAAAGGATTTTGTTATTCCATGATAGGAATGAAATTGGACACTGAAGATCGCCTCGATTCGAGACAACGGATTTATTCATAGCGTGGCTCCTTTTTCAAATCGTTTTTCTCTTCTCTCTCTTTCTCTCTTTCTCTCTCTTTATGCTCGACGATCACGTTTTTCTCACACGAAGAAAGTAGCCGCATCCGTGGAAAAAGATGCTTTCACTTCGCGATTGATTCGCTTGACATCAATTGCTTGTTAAGCGGAATCGGTTTATCGATTGTCCATAGTGAAGGTTCATCGACATGGGATATTCCTTTAAACGCTTTCCCTCGTGTGCGGTTTCTTCGATCAAAATCGAAGAGTTTCTTTATAACGTTTGAAAGGGGATTTTATTTTTATTTTATCTCTCTTCGTATCACTTTGTTCGTTTGGAATAGTGGAGATTAATATTTTTGTGACAGAATGATATTTCATCTGTGCACAACAAAAAATTATAGGTATAAGTCATAAAGATTTGGATTTTTTATTATTAAAATGATTAGAAAGATTAGAAAGATTATATTGGTGAAAAAGCGAAATAAGGAGAACAAAGAAAAATTAAAGGGGGAATATATATAATATAAATAATAAAAATAAGGATATTAATAGAAATAAAATAATAGAGAATGAAATATAAAATAAATTTGTAAGTTAAGTCATTTCATATTCTCAACAAAATACGATGAATTCTAAGTCATTTTTTTATCTTTTTTATCTTGGTAGCTCGTCTAACACCTAACGTGTTATTTTTGCGCCTGGAAAACGAGTTTCCAGACTGTTGACATTCTGCAGTTTCTTTCAGTTAGTACCACACGTCCATTTACTTTCCTTGTGTTTAACAATCCTCGACAAACTTCTTTTTACGTTCAATGATATAAGAAGAATAATTATTTAATACATTTATAATATATATACAATTTTATAATACTTTTATAATATTATAATTGAACATAATTAAAAATTTATCAACATTTGAAAAAATTATATAGAACAATAAACTAAAATTTTATGCAAAATTTCTTTCAACGATGAAATAAAAAGGAACTAACAATATTTAAAAAAACGAAGTATCGAATAAAAGATCCTGAAAGAAAATTTTAAACATAAAAATATACAAGAAGAATCTCAAACCAAGAAAAATTCTTAAAATTAAATATACCACAAAGCTTTAAACATACCATAAAAATATCGAAAGAAGCGTAAAAAAGCGTAGGTATGAAAAAGGAAAAAATTTGAAAGAGAAAAATTCCAAGAAATAATATTCCTTCGCGAAATACCTGTTGATATCCTTCAACTGCAACTAATCGCATCGTAACAACCATCCTTCGAGCAACAGTGATCGAAAAGTTTGTGAGCAGAAGTTGGAAATGGAAGCTGAGATGGTTCCATGATGGATCGTTGAACACCCTCGTGGGTGCAAGCATTGTGCAAACGTCGACTGAAACGAGAGGAAGAGTGGATGGAAGCCGTAATGTAAACAGCTAGCTGCCTCTTTTTCATCCCCTCGTTCCTCTCATAACTGGCGACCTGGTAAGTCTTAAGAGGGAACATTTTAATATTGGGCCCAGTTTAATGAATTTCGCAGTTGTAACTAGCCAGGTTGTACTGGATAATCGGCCTTAATATTGTTTGAATATTTTATCACTGCTTTGAGCTACTTTCTTCCAAGATGCTGGTCGTTTTATCGTCGAGTAAGAATTAATTAATTAATTCGAAGATGGATTGGGGAGGATGAAGAAGATATAAGGAGAAAAGTTTAAAGGATTATTAAATTTTTGATAATTTGTAAAAATTTGCAAACGACATTTTTCACGTGGAAATTATTATCAGTTCGAAAGAAATTTGAAATTTTGATGAATGAGATAAAAGAAATTATTATGAGATTGTCTTGTTGGATTTTTGAGAATTTTTAAATTTTGAATGTTTGAGAAGCGAAACGAAAGAAGTGATGTTATTTCGAAATTTTTTTTAACTCTTGCGAAGTTCAAAATCATATTGAAAAATATTGGGAATATAGATCACCATTTTCCAAAGAATTTATCAATTATTATCGACATATGGTAGCAAACTTTCCTTGAAATATTGCAATTTATCTTTTATCGCGGACCAAGTTTCATTGAAGGTTAGATGGTGAAGAAATCGATTTGAAAGATTCACGAGTTAAGGATATCGTAACTTTTAGTGGCTATAAGAGAAAATAATCCTGGTAAGAGAAGAAATCCTCTTGTATGAAAAGAATATCAAGGGCGATCTCGTTTCGCAAATACAACGATGAAAAGCATTAAAAGAATTTTTTTGGAAGAAAGAAGAAAGATGAATTCGATCATATTGTCCTCGTGATACTTCTTTATATCGTTTGATATTTATACAAAATTTTAAACAATCAAATGGTCTTATCGTTGATATTAAAACTCGTTTGAAGTCATCGAACGATCTTTTATTTGAAGATCTAAAAATCATAAGAAGTTATTGAAAATATCAATAAAAATTAAATATTTTTTTTATACTCAAAGAAATCTATGAAAGTTTAATCAGTCTATTCGTATCTTCAAAAAAAAAACAAAACAATTCGAATCCAAATATAAATTATTCAAAATCCATATATAAAAATACACTTCGATACTTCTTTTGTTCAACAATTCTTCAATCAAACTACACTAAAGTCATCATCATCAGTTCTTCACAGCATCTTATTCTTCCATATCAAATCTTCTCATCTCTTTTCTCCCAATTTCTTACATCTTAAATTATCATTTACCATCTTTGTCTTTATCAATTTAAAAAATTGAAACCAAAAAACAAGAACTCGTTTAAAATAAAGATATTTTTTAAGAAAAGGATAATCACACCACATTTTTCTCGCCGACATATTATACCTACCACTATTCACGAGACCTTTGACGTAGTTAACGAGATATCGATAAGCAAATTAGTCTCGTATAGCATCGCCTTAAGCAATCGAGTAAATAAACAGGGTCTCGGTTAATACTCGTAATTCAATTTCCATCATCCGGTATATAAACGAAACCAGCACTCGACGCCATCGTTTGCCTGCAGACTTGGATAAATTCTTCTTCGTCACAAATAGATTCCGGTGCGAGAATATTTCGGTATTCCTTATTAATGAGTGTGCGGTGGAAAATAATAATAAAATCGAATCAAATTTGAAATTTATCCAAATATAATATAAATAGGGATATAATCGATAAAGGTAGATTGAAGTGGAATCTTTGGAAATTGAAAAGTGAACGAGTACGAGATATTGTAATTGTTTTTAGAGAATTGTGAGGAATGGTGGTTGTGTAATTGATTTGGAATATTTTCAAATGGACGAATTTATAGCGAGCTTTGATTGATATACTTGAATGTAGTAGATGTTGATGATGTTGATAAATGAAATTGCATTCTTGATAATGATAAATGATTGAAATTTAAATATTATAAAATATTATAAAACTGCATGCTTTTGGATAACGATTTTGGACAAAAATATGAAACCCTTTATTTTGATGAGTTTGCTTCTCCTAAGATAATCTTGTAATACTTAATCATATTTTTAATTTTTAATCGTACATTTATATATTATAAATTTCGCTTCGATATTTCAAATAAAATTTTGCAATTAGAAAACATTTAATTTACAATTTGTCAAACATATTCTCTTAACAATTATTATTTCTCCTGTAACTTCCACAAATTTAGTTACACATTGACAATCGATAATTCTGACGTTACCAATATTTTCTATAATTTTTTTTTTTGCAATTCAATAATTATCGTTATCGATCTCTAAACATCTCTTTAAAACCGTAGTCCACAATGGGCTGTGAAAAGACAGAGAAAGAGGTAGAGGCTCCTCCAATCGAGGAAAACACCTATATGATTCACCTTCCAAAATCACTCAACATAGAAGAGAAGAAATACTTATTAGCAGTAGAGCGCGGTGATTTGGTAAATGTTAAAAGATTCATCCAATATGCCAACAAAAGCCACGTGAGTCCCTTGAAAATTCACTTTTTCCCTTTACTTGAGATCTATCATACTTCTTCATCTCCAATAATCCATTTTTTTTTTTTTTACTTTCAGGGTAAATCAATAGACATCAATTGCGTGGACAGTTTGGGCCGTGATGCATTGTGCTTGTCAATCGATTCAGAAAATCTAGAAATGGTAAAATTATTAGTAGTAATGGGTATAGAGACGAAGGATGCCCTTCTTCGAGCTATTGATCAAGAATTTGTAGAAGCTGTTGAGTTTCTGCTCGAACACGAAGAATTATTAACCGCCAATTCGTTGGAGAATAATTGTGAGTGATATTTTATTTTTGTTTAACGAATTTTTATCTCGAAATAAGAAGGCATATGAATACTTGAAACTGTATAGAAAAGATCAATCGTGATTATGAATTATTCGATTACAAAATTATATTAAATATTATTGATCAAATTTTTTTCCATCTAGTTTTGATTTTTCGATATTTTTTCAAGATCGATTTTATTTTAGGTAATCTTTTAGGTATATAGAGAATTATACTTAATTTATAGATGAGAAAATAGAAAATATATTTAGTATTGAAAGTTTTCTATAAAATATTCACGTAATTTGCAGCTGAGAAAGAAGTGATCCACAGTTGGCAAAAGATCGATCCAGCCTCCGCTAGGTATCCACCGGAAATTACGCCATTGATTTTAGCGGCACAGCGGAACAATTACGAGATTTTGAAATTGTTACTAGATCGTGGCGCCACTCTTCCTATGCCGCACGATATTAGATGCGGATGTGCCGATTGTCTACGATCAACCATAGGTAAAACGAACAAATAGGAATAAACATCTATTTTCCTTTATGTGTCTGAATATCTTTCATTTTCCTCTTGATTTTTCCGAGGAAATTTATTTATTTCAAGATTAAAATATATGAGTTTGTCTAGTTATTTCACGAAACAAGGGATAAATAAGAGAAGAAATTGTTTAAAATTTTTGTATTGTAATAATCATTGATTGTTCTCTATTCTCAGGAGATCCATTGAGAATTTCGTCCACTAGAGTTTCTGAATACAAAGCATTGGCAAGTCCAAGTTTGATAGCTCTTAGCTCGCCAGATCCTTTGCTGACGGCTTTTCAATTGAGCTGGGAACTTCGAGAATTGACGATTGCCGAACCGGAAAGTAGAGGCGAATACTTGAAGTTGAGACGTCAGGTGGAAAGGTAAACTTTCCACCTTTTTTCTTTACACATTTTCATTCGTAAACATTCAATAATTTCCCCGTTTAATTTTAATTACAATTTTTATATTTATTTATCTCCTTTTTTTATTTCGAATGAAAATTCTTGGATCATCAACGTACGATATCAATTTATTAATTTATCCATCGGACATCTATCCAATTTAAAAATATTTATAATATTCTGCATTATATATTACATCTATTCTATTGGATCTACAAAGAAAAAAGAAAGAGTAATAAAATATAAATGAACCTTCCGTTTAAATTGTAACATAATTTAATACATCTTACGTACATCAGAAGAAATTGTGCAACGCGAATTTAAAATTCATTGCATTTCAAAATGAATGAATACGACTTGTGCAAATGTTTCATTTCCAAATATGAGATATTGAAAACTGGATTTCTATTAATAATAAAATATATATATATATATTTTAAATAACTTTCCTTTTCTTTTTCTTTTATCGTACAAGCAAGTTTTCCAGTCGTTGAGAAATATTCTTAAAAGATTGAGAAATATTCTATTGGTCGATTTCGTTTCGAATTAGATTCGCCGTTGATCTTCTGCAACAAGTGAGAACCACTACGGAGTTGCACACGATTCTCAACTACGATCCTGAGGACGATGCCAACTTGCCCCCGAAGCAGCTGGCCAGATTAGAATTGGCCATACAATATAAGCAGAAAACTTTCGTCTCCCATTCCCACGTGCAGCAACTGTTGGCAGCGATCTGGTTAGTTCGTTAAGCAACTTCCCTCGATTTTCCATACCCGAAATTGTCACGAACTTGACTTTCTCAAACTTTGTTCCTCTTATTACATGTCATGAAATGAGAATCGATTCGACTTGGTAATTGCGTTAAAAATATGTGGAATTAAATTGTCGTACAATCAACTCTCTTAAATAATATTTATCGTATGGTATACTCTAGCTTTTTTATTTTTTATTGATTTTCACGAATCTTTCGTATTCAATGAATACGATTATATATATAGTTTAGTACAAAGGATTAACTATATTTATTGGCTGTACTGTATTTGTTGCAGTTGTTAAAAAATATTTTACTCTTTTTAAATAATTGACGTGATCTAATCTAATTATAATTAGATATACGTAAATTGATTGTTTGGAAAGAAACAGAGATATCATGTTCCATTCCATCTCGAATAATATTTTAATTAATAAATTATTATTAATGATTTAATTAATAAATATTAAATGAAGAAATTGTAACAAAATTGGTGAATAAAATCATGTGAAAATTATTTCAAATGATAATTAAAATTCTTTAAAAAGATTAAAATATTATTTGAGAAAATAATTTCATGAATCGAACTCATTTTTCTCACTTTTAAATTTTCTTAAATTAATCTTATATTTACGTTTGATCGAAGGTACGATGGTCTACCGGGATTTAGACGCATGAGCACAGGAAAAAGATGTGGAATTCTCGCGAAAACAGCTTTAATGTTTCCATTCTACTGTATAATGTACTTAATAGCACCAGAGTCGAAGATCGGACAATTAATGCGTAAACCATTTGTTAAATTCCTCGTTCACGCCTCTTCGTATCTATTCTTCTTGTGTAAGTTTTAGTTAATTTTCACAATTTAGACAAGATTAATAATTATCTTGAGCGAAGAAAAATTCTTGAGAATAAACTTGGACGTTTCAGTTATTCTAATGTTGGTATCTCTACGCGCGGAGGTAGAAATAGTAAGATTATTCGGCAGCGATGAGACAATAAAAAATATGAATATAGAATTGACGAAGCAAAGAGGGGCAGCACCATCGCTTTTGGAATGCATTGTCATTCTTTATGTTATTGGATTTATTTGGCAAGAAATGAAAGAGGTATATTACCTTTATAATATATTCAATCTGTTCTAAATCTGTTTCTAATCAATTGACGAGGCTTCTTTTCATCGATTTCTGAAATGATTTCAATTTTTTCTTTCCTTTCCTTTCTTCGAGTTAAATTTAATTAAATAGATTCTAGAGATCAAAATAGCATAAAAATTTCGATCGAGACTTATTTTTTTAAGTTATAAGTTATAATGTAAATTTATACCAAATGAAGCGAGACAAAATGACTTCAGTTTCAATTTCAATCGCTTATAATTCAATAAAAATTGTTTATTTATTTATATGAATTATTTATTTATATGAATTATCGAAATTTCTATATACCAATTGTATTTATTACTTTAGCCTCTTGAATCGATTTTACAAAGAAATATATTAACATCCTGTATCAAATATTTATTATTTCATTAAAAATAGAAAAATATAATAGTTAAGATAGATAAAAGATTGAGAATTAAGATTTTTGAAAATCTTCCACGAGAAAAGGAAGAAAAAAATTATTAGCAGAAATATCAATCTTTAGAATTACATCAAAGAATACATTTAATTCGATTGATTCGATTTAAATAACTCGATTATAATTAAGAGATATCGAGAAATGTAATTCGATGTACAAATTTGAAGGCTTACATAGACGGATTAAAGGGGTATCTACGAGACATGTGGAACTTCATCGACTTCACTAGAAACTTTCTCTACATCGCGACTGCGATTCTTCGATTAGCAGCGTATCTTCAGCAAAAAGCGGAGATTAGAGACAATCCTTCGGCAGCTCTGATCCCAAGGGAGAACTGGAGCGATTTCGATCCTCAGTTAATCGCCGAAGGCCTGTTCGCAGCCGCCAACATCAACAGTGCCCTGAAATTGATCCATTTGTTCAGTATTAATCCTCACTTGGGACCTCTTCAGGTGATCATTCTCGTGAATTTTTTAAGTATTGTAGAATATCATAGAACGAAAGATCAGAAAACAAACTAGAAAAGAGTGTACAATTTTTCCTCGCGCGATGATTAATTGATTTTGTTCTCTCTTTTTTTCGAAAAATATCTTTTTTCCAGATATCTCTAGGAAGAATGGTGATAGACATTGTAAAGTTCTTCTTCATCTACACGTTGGTACTTTTCGCGTTCGCCTGTGGCCTGAATCAATTGCTCTGGTACTTTGCCGAATTGGAAAGACAAAAGTGCTACGTTGATTTTGTTGATCCATCTTGGGACCCCGCGAGTGACAATTGTTTAAGATGGAGAAGGTAGATGATCGATGCACAAGTCCAATCTAATCGATTTAATCTCTCGATTTTATGGATTTTATGGAATCTTTATTTCATTGAATTGATACTTTATCGACTTGATCTCTCGATTTTACAGATTCAGTAATCTCTTCGAGTCCTGTCAAAGTTTATTTTGGGCCAGTTTTGGCGGGATTGGCATAGAAAGTTTCGAACTCACAGGTAAATCAAAAACTTAATATAATATTTGTTTATGAATATTTGTTTTCTCTGTGTTTCGATTTTCGATCCTGCTCGTTTTATTTTTAAGGGATCAAGAGCTATACTCGATTCTGGGGCCTGCTGATGTTTGGTTCTTATTCCGTGATCAACGTGATCGTCCTTCTGAATCTTCTCATCGCCATGATGAGCAACAGTTATGCTGTCATTGAGGTAACTGAAAAAAAAATATATTTTTCTATATTAATAAAAAGTATCGAATTTAATCCACTAAACAACAATCCAATAAACAATTTAAACAATTCCAATAATTCTAATAACTCAACCTTAATTTCTAACGTTAATTCTTCCCCAATAAACTAGGAACGAGCAGACAAAGAATGGAAATTCGCGAGGACGAAGCTGTGGATGAGCTATTTCGAGGACAGTGGCACGCTTCCACCTCCATTCAACATTATCCCTCCCCCAAAACTGTTCCTCAGGTGGTGCGGCCTGCGAAAGATCACCAAGAAGATGAACGATTGCAAACGAACGCGCGATTCCAAGTAACGATCCTTCTTCTTTTTCTTCTTCTTCTTCTTCTTCTTCTTCCTCTTCTTCTTCTTCTTCTTCCTCTTCTTCTTCTTCTTCCTCTTCTTCTTCTTCTTCTTCTTCTTCTTCTTCTTCCTCTTCTTCTTCTTCTTCTTCTTCCCTTAAATCCATTATCGACGCTATTTTCTAATTGTACGACCGGATTATTTCGCTTTTCTTTCAGGTACGGAGCCGTGATGAGAGCACTGATATGGAGGTACATCGTGAACACTCACTCTGAACACGAGATGAATCCGGTGACCGAGGATGACGTACACGAGCTCAAGTCGGATCTATCCTCGTGGAGATGCGAATTGTTGGAGATCTTGAGAAGGAACGGAATGGATATTGCTAGTGCTGACACGAAAGAGAAAAGTGAGTACGATTTAGATTAATTGTTATCTGTTATTTGTCGGTTATCGATCGATAGAAAGATTAAGGAAGGGGAGAATTGTTGGAAAAAAAAAAAAAATGTTATTTTTCTCCTCGAAAAATTTTTAAAAAATTATTCGTAGGTCGCTTCTAATCTCAGAATTGTGCGTGGAAGATCAATTTTTTTCTTTTTTCCTTTTTTTCACCTATCGTATACAAGTTCTAGCCATGGAACTTTTTTGTAGGGATTAATGTAACATTCGATATTTCATACGAATATCGATATATTTTAAAATGCATCGACGTGTTCGGCTAACATCGATTTTTTTTGCATTTTTTATTTTAATGTGTCGTAACGTTAATGTAATCTTTGTATTTCAGGATATTCTCGAGTCGATGCATCTTTATTCCTGACGTATTTTCATATCGTATTTTTATATTAATATATTCCAATGATATTGATAAATTAAGTAATAATGAGAGAGAATATATTTTATTGGAATTGAAAAAAATCAACCGAAATTATGATATTTTTCAGAGAAGACTCGATTCATAATTTTTTAATAATTTTTATAATTGATATATATATATATTATTAATTACAGACAATCAGCTGATTCGTTTATTAAATTTAATCTTTACGAACGATTAGCTATTCTTGGCAAGAAGATGAAGGTATGGGAAAGAAGATTAATGAAGGATTTCCAAGTAGCAGTTCCGCTTTCTCTAGACGAGGATCAAATGGAATCTTTCCAGCAATCGAACGAAGACGAAGACAACATCGCGAAATGGAAAAGGATCGCAAAATTAGCCGTGTTACAATCGGCTAATCATCGTTGGAATCAGGTGGGAATCGATTAATTTTAAAATTACCTTAAATGAGATCGATATTTTTATTTGTTGATCCGAGAGGAAGGTAATGATGGATGAAAAAAATTCCAGGTACTGGACAGCGCTGTGAAAAGTTCACAGATTGGCAAAAGCACCAGTAAATCGTCTATTCAAAATCAGATAAGCTTGAAGAAAGCTATGGAGGAGGCGCAAAAATTGAACAATAAGAGTACATTGCCACCTGTATCACTTGCTGTGAAACTTCCTGAAACTACTGCTTCCACGATTCTTCATGTTTTACATGATACGGTCGACGAAACTGATACTTCTGATAAATCTGAAACGGTGCAAGAAACTTCGAAAACGATAATTAATGTAACGACAGATTCCAAAGAAAAAGTAAGAATTGAATATCGATATGTTTCTCATAAAGCTAACAATATTTAATGTCGAAAATGATGTTCAGATATGGATTTTAAAAAAAAAAAAAATTCATAACTATGTATGGCAAAAATTCGTATTGAATGCGTATGCAAATAAGAAGGCGAATATTTAGAAATTTTCTTGTACCTTTTTTTTTAGAAAAATTCATTGAATTATCTAATTAATAGAAGAAGTTTCGTACAGAGGCATTTATTATATTTTTTTCGTTATTAAAAATTGAATACCTATAAGATAATGCAAGACACGGTTTTTTTTTAGTATTTCTTTTAAAAATTATGTACGTTCGTTGTATGTATTTGGATTTTGATTTTTTATTCTATAATGAATATATTGATAGATTGTTATACTCTTCTTTATAGTCGAAGCCTGTAATGTCAATGGATTATGTCGATGAGAAATCCGCTAAAATTGCACCAGTGCCACCGCAGCAATTCAAAAGAAAAGCTTTGAACAGTTCAACGACGTATCAACAACCGTCTGGTAAGTAATCTTAATTAAAATTGTTTTAAATATTTTTATTAAATTATTTAAATTATTAAAATTTTAAATTAAAATTTATATATTCGATTAATATTCAATAATTTTTTAAAGAAAGTGAATTCTTTTTTTTAATTTTATTTTCAGAAATGTTATCTTCTCATTCCACGAATACTTTCAAGTACACATCAAATTCTCCAATAAAGAAATCTGGTGGTACAGAATCAACATTGTCTACCCATATGGATGAAATTCCTAAAACATTGAAATCACGATTAAAACCTACATTAAGTCCTAAAAAAAATATGAATTTGCCGGAGGATAAGGAAAAATTGGTAAATGTTATGCCTAGATCGCCACGAGGACCAAGTAAATCACCTCGAAAAGGAGGTTGGCTGTAAAATACTGAATAAAAGTAAATAAAATATGTAATTTATGAGATTTGATTTAAAAATCTGTGTTCTTAATACACATGCATGTTTTGATAAAATTATCGTCTTAGGAATATATTATAAAGTAAAAAAGATTTTAATATCTATATTTCTTTTTTAAAAATTAAGACACGTTGTAGTTTTGAAAGTGAAATGATGAAATTGTGTTCAATTAAATCTCATATCTTGTTTATGATCACGTGCGAAAGATGAATATATAAAGTAAGACAAAGAGAGAAAATAGTGAGAAAAGGATGAAGATAGGATAAAAATTCGGAAATCAGCGCCATCTATAGAGTGCCGTAGATTAAACATAAATTTAGACAAAGAAAGCAAGAAAAAAGGATAGAGATAGGATAAGAATTGATCATCAGAGCCATCTCTTGAGTAATGAAGATATCTCTTTAAAAGAAAGATAAAGTAGAGTAAGAATTGATCATTAGCGCCATTTCTGAAGTGAAATTAAATTTTTTTCTAAAAGATGGCGCTAATTTTTAATTCTTACTCTGTTTTATCTTGACTGAGAAAAAGTTTCTATAATACTTAAGAGATGGCACTGACGATTATTTCACACTTTATCTTTCTATCATTAATAACCTTCTTCACTGTTTGTTCTCTTTGTTCATATTCCTAAAATTGTGCGTTTTAAAAAGGGTTTCGATATTTGATGAACTTTATCGTTTTTTAAAATAAAAATATAAAAATATATGTAAAATATATTACGACATATAAAAATGATATGTATGTATTATAATATATAATATACTTATAATAGAAATATACATCCGTATGCTAAAAATTACACGGAATGAAATTCATTTTCAATGAGATTCCTTTCATTTATGTATGGTATATATGTAAAATAGAGATACAAATATGTAGTTAAAGTATCATGTGTATATATATATATATATATTTTTTTTTTTTTTGCTCAGATACAATCAATGACATTCAATGATGCTGGAAAAAATAAAACTGAAACAACATATAAATTAATGCACTGATCGTATAAAATATATTTCAACATCCTGGCATTTGAAAAAATTTTGTATATGGAATTGAAGGCAAATGACATCATGCCATTCCGATACCATTACGCATTCTTTTCTTTAAACAAATTTGATTACACGTTTATTCCTCTCTGGAAATAACATGAATACTGAAAATATCATGGATCAAAAAAACTATATATTCTAAGCAGCTTGCACCACTTTACTCTGTGGACCTTTCTGCGTAGAACTAATTTTATCGCCTAACGACAATGCCATGCCTTGACTTTTCGCCCTGATACGAATATGGCCAACTACTGGAGCATCAGGTTTATTCAATGGTTTTTCGATAGACATATTTGCCAAAGCATCTTCACCAAATATCGATTTTGCATACATATTTGCGGCCATGAAACCACATTGCCCAGAGAGAGCCTGAAAAGAAATTTGATTTTATCCAATAATTTGTTTAACACTGAAATCATTTTTTAGGAGAAATCAATTTGAAGTACAATACCTTTTCTGGAGTAAGACAGCGCATATTTGTGGATTTTAGTAAATGAGCGAGATATTCCCTCAAATCTGATAATGTCGTATTTACAGACACTTTATTTTCCCATTCAAATTCTGCCCACATTTGTCTGAATTCTAGATCGGTGCATGTTGCTGGTACTATGTAATCCATGATGTCGATATGTATATCGTTCAATACTACTACACTTCTATCAGATCCCGCGCCAGATACATCATATACTGAAATTTTTTTTAATTCATAAAATTTTTATTTTCCTAAGATATGTTATTGAATAATTACCTATGTTGCCAAATATTATGCCATTTTCTGTGGATGCTACTTTTACATTTGCCTTAATGCTTGCAAAGTCTCGAGGAGCAAGTACAATAGGCTGTGGTCTTTCTACGAGTTTTAAATCGCCCATTGTTGCAAGTTCCAAAGTACAATTTTGCAAAGTATCTTCGGTTTGATTAACAATTAGTACATCAAGTACTATATCATATTGGTTGACATGAACAAGAGCTTCTGCATAAACAGGATCTGAGAAACCAGTTAATTGAGTAACTTTGCTCAAAGCACTAGGAGCTGGCGCATCTCCGCTAGCACCGGGTCTTCCAGCGACAGCAGCACTTAAACTTTGCTCAAATACATCACCAGCTCCACCTGTTAAGTCTGAACCACGGCTTAATTGCAAGAATTGTATAGGATCGTCTACTTGAACGACACTACCTGGTTTCTCTTTTGCCTATAAATAAAAAATTAGAAATTAATAGTTCATAAATATTACAAAGAATTGAATTAATTTAAAGTACAACCTTTTGGTTTTGTGAATCTTCTTCAGCTTTTGCTGCCAACATTCTACCAAGAGCATCACGACAACCTTCTGTGAAAACTTTCTGTACAAGAGGTGTTGGACAGGCTAAGGATCTTAAACATAATGATAAACGTTCTGCATCATCGTGTGTTATTGCTTTAGTAGGAAGACCCGAACGACCCAACTGCATCACACTAGACATTATTAACATTGCTTCAGCTTGCATACGATTGCTCTTCTGTAGATCACTTTCGAGACTTTTATATCGAAGCGCCAACTTGGCTAAAGTTGTTGCTAAAGAGGCACCTATGAAGAAATCACCTTCCATCATATATTGAACCAGTGCAGGACGTTTCTCTTCTTTTTTACCTATAAATTACATTTAAGAAAAAAAATAATATAAACTATCTCTAATAAAACGAAATTTATAATCGCATCAAATAATGTCAATAAAAAATAGAAGATATTTACGTGCAGATGTTGCACTGAATGCACTTTGAGTAGCGTATGTACCGTCTGATGTGACTAATTGTGCTGGTGTAACTTGAGCACTCCCATCATCTAATTTCTCACCAGCTTGACGTTTATTCTCCGCTTCTAATAATGGTAATTCTCCCAATGCAGCTCGTATGCGACTCATTACAGCTTCGATATCTTCCTTTGTAGTTGCGTATTCACCGAGAATCCACAATGCTGCTCTGTGTACTCTTACCGATCTTATATGTGGAAATACCTATTTTTAATAATTAATAAAATTAAAATCGTTTTTTTTTTAAAATATGGAAACAAAGATTAATTTTTTAATTTTTATTTTTTTGATATGTACTTCAAGAAGTTTTTCAACAATAAGTGGTCTCAGATTTTCAAAACGCTGAATAGCTTCACGCACAAACACTAGAACATCAGTAGCTGCAGCTTCGTTATTTTCCGACAAGAAATCTGTTAATACTGGAATTACTGTAGCTGCTACATCTGAGAACTTGATAGAACAAGCATGTAGCGTTCGAACAAGAAGTTGTCGATATCGACCAGCATCTTCATGTTCTCCGCCAGCCGTTCTAAGCACTTCTTTTTTCAATAACTGAACCATTTCATCGATAGTACGAGTCGTTACTAAGTCCATCGCTAGAGCTAATGTTTTTGTTCTAACTTCCAATGCTGGAGAGCCTAAAATAAGATTAAAATCTTAAGTGACATTCTATATTATTATATTATTATTTTTATTAGTTTTAGAAATCTACCTAAAACTCTAAGTACATCCATTACTAGATCTTGGAGAACTCTTTCATAAACAGGACTATCTTTCATCGCAATTAAGCGATCCAAAACAATCAATTTAACATTATTATCACTTTCTTTAACAACTAGTTCGATGTAGCAAGAAGCTGCAGCTTTAATCGCTGTAGGAGCATTGGAAAGTGTAACTAAAGTACCAGCTGCTTCATAGCGTACTGCAGCACTCGGCGAGTTTAATAAACTATAAATGCATCTGATAAAACGGGCTCTTTCGGATGGATTTGCAAGGCAAACCTATAAAAGTACAAGTTTATTAATATTTAAAATAAAAAAAAATAAATAAATAACTTTTATAAAAAAAATATTTACCTTGTAAATTAGTTCAACAATAACCAATTGTAATATATCACCAAAATTGGGTACTTGGTCCAAACAAGCTGCTAAATAAGCCAATGCTCTGCTCTGATCAGCATGTAATAGCATTAAAAATGCATTTCTTCTGCAAGACATATCTTGTTCTCCTTCCAAATATTTTGCAATTAATTCTGGAGCATCTGGTATAAGAAACTCAAAGTTTCTATAAATTGTAAAAATAGCTAGAACTGCATTTCGTCTAACATAAGAGTGTCTGTGTTCCAAACATGCAATTATGGCAGGCATTAAAGGTTCCAAAAGTTCTGGTTCTTTTAATTTACACAAAAATCTAGAATATAAAAATTCTTAAATATATCAAAATTTTTAACATTAGAATAAAATATCTATTATTATATTTAATACCTTAAAGTAGAACCTCTAACAAATTCATTTGGATGCTGTAAATCTTTTCTATAAGCATCACAAACTAAAATCATTTCCTGAAGTAATTTGCCATCAGGAGAGGTTTTAGGAACAATCTCCCAGAATATTAAAAGTAATTTCTTTATAGTGTGATCTTGCAATGGTAATACAAATCTAATAATAGTCATCAAAAGTCCAGGTAAGCGTTCTCCACTCAAGATTGTATGAATAGTTTTTTTAAGAGCTTCAATTTTTGTATGAACATCGCCTTTTTCAAGATCTTGTTTTAATTGCAGTTCATTTAATGGCTCCGTATCGGTTGGAACATTTATCAAGGTATAACAAGGTTGTTCAGCTATGGTACTCATTTTTTCGATTGTTTCACACTTTGTTAGAAAAACTTTTTTTTATTACCTGCAAATTAAAAACCATCATTCTATACTTCCCGAATAAATGATCGAAATTCATTATGTGATAAAAGTAATTCGAAAAACATATAACAAAAGTGAGGTTAGGTTATACGTTTACCTTATCATATTGGACATAAAGTAATATACTATATTGATCGAATTTGACATACCTGAGTAATCACAAGTGAATTGTGCGATAACAAAAGGTAACACAATATATTTCAATTGACTAATTGACATTTATATAAATCCGGAAACAAGAAAAACAGCATACGTGTCAAACCCCAATACAAGGGGTCTACTGAAACTAGGAATAGATAGCGCTACGATCCACTTCTTCCACATAAAATATTTTGAATTTTTTGAATTTAAGATATTTTTTTTCTTTAAAATATTGTTTAAACATTACTTTTTTATAAATATAAATTCTTTTATAGTTTTTTATTTTTGTATTCTATCATACTTCGATTTTAAAAGAATCAACATTTACATTTTAATATAAATTACAGAAAGGACTTTTGTTAATATTAAATTTTGTATTCTTATAAAAAAATGTTCAGAAAATTATTTATATATAATTCTCTAATTATATATTTTAAATTAATCAGCAAAAATAAAATTAATTTTTATTAATTCTTTAATTTTTCTCCAAACTCATAAAAATTACATAATGGAAAACAATTAATAATTATCGTTTATTTGAAGAGCACGTATTCATACGTATTCATACGTCGTTATTTGCGTAAAGATTTATTATAAATAATTTATAATTAAAATATATTCGTAAAATATTTCGTAAATTATTTCAACATTTCAAAAAAAAAATAAATAAACAAAACAGATATTTACCAAATAAAACCCGTAACTTAATGGCGCAACATATTGTTACTAAATATTATTAATTTATTTCTTTCAGAGATAAATCATCCCGATTAGAGAACCGCCTCAAGTGGAGCACTACTGACCTAGAAAACAAACTGAACTAAATAGATTGCAACTGCGTTCGAAGAAGCGATTAATTCATTCGCAAATTTTACCACCAATAAATTACATATGATAAAAATATATTAAATTGATTTAACTGATTAAGAAAAAATAAAACAATAATTTTAACAATTTAAATTTATCAGAGGAATAAGAATCATGTTGTTTCATGATCTTAAAATAATTTTAATTTAGATAGAACAGATTAAAGAAGTTGCATAATTGCACTATCAGTTATGAATATATTAGTATATTTCAAAGCAATTCGTTTTTTGAAAAATCACGGATTTTTTTATTGATGCGCAAAATGATTTTTTTAAATTACTGATAAACTTTTGTCGGTCAGATTTCTATGATTGACAAGCATATTTTTCTCTTTGGACAGTAAACAGTAATGTAAAATTAATTATTGAACATCTTTATAAATAACTTTATTTTGATATTTAACATTAACATTGATATAACATTTGATATTTTTATTCTTTTTATCTTATTTTTTAATTCATTGATGAAATTATTATAAATTTAAAAAAGATACATTTTTACTTTCTACTTCTTTTTTACGATAAATTTCAAGATAATCAATAACATAAAATCTCTGTTTTCCGTTTCTATCGTTCCAATAGTATATTTGATCATTTCTCAATGCTCTTTTATTATGAATGCCAAGGGATACTATCTACAAAATCTTCTTCTACTATCTATTGAAGCAAAAATTGAGAGAAAAAAAACTTGCTATATAATAGTCTCTCATCTATCTAACTGTACCTTACACTACCTCAATGTAACCTACTCTTGACGTACTCTTGTACGTAATAAATTTATGCCAGAAGCACAAATATCTCTATATCCTCTCTTCGAGTAACTCTTGAAATCACTACAACGATAAAACACATCTTGCTCATTGAAAATTAAAAAACAAGATACCAAGATCCGAAACATCTTGATCTCGATAATTGTCTTACTATAATTCACAAAGTTTCAAAGTACCATGTACGTGACGCGAGATGAATGAACGATATCCGAAGGCAGGCATTCCTCGAATCATCCATGTCTTTTCTCCATCCAACATTTCTCTCCAATCGATCACGATCGTGCTGTCGACTGAGTGACACGGACGACCACCTCTCATCGTGCCTCCATTCTAAACCGGTTAACCGGCAAAAACCGATCGTTCTCGTTCAAACAACCGGCGGAGAATCTCCTAAGTAATTTTTCGAGAATTCCATTCTCGAAACATCTCCAGCCTCTATGCTCTATGGCGTCAGACGAAATTAGCGGCTAGATAGAGCGAGCGGCGGCTAATTGCAAGCGTCTCGACGTCGCCGATTCTCAATTGCCTCCCATCTCTGTCTTGCCTACTTTTTTCGATTAACTCCTATTGCACCGGCCGTTGCACGCACAAAGAGGGTCAGACACGCGTTTAACTCGTACCGGCTATCTCTCACCCGTGAACGCCATCGTCCCCCTCCGTCCTTCCTCTCTCTCTCTCTCTTTCCCTCGCTCTATCCCTGTCCCTCCTTGGTGAAAGAGTAGTTTCACAGAGTTTGAAACGATCGCCTGGAATATCGTCGTTATTGGCACGAAGAGTTTCGCGTTTGCACGCTTGCGTCGGCTTCCCTTTGTTGCCTCGATCGTTCGAATAATTTTCTTTCGTGCTCGTCGAGTTATGGTCTCGTTTCGTAAGATCGATTTTATGCCGGTAATTCAATGGTCGTTTCATGATCACCGAATGGGTATATTTAAAGTTTTTATGGTTGGGGGGATGGTTTCTTTTTGGCGTTTGGAAAGTTACTATTACGATTGTAATTAACTCGGCAATTGCGTACTCGGATCTTTCAGATTTGGCATGGTTCGTATAGTGTAAGAAATTCTGAGAGAAATTTATTGGTGTCTACTTTTGGCCGTCTACTTTTAGATCGTATAATTAGATGTTCGAAACGAAGGTTGTACGAGATGTATTTCACATTTTTAACTATTTTGTCACGAATAAAAGATTCTCCTTATCCCAGAGTTATGTATTCTTAAGATGGATTTTCATAATTTGAGGAGGATGGACTCCTCGATGATTGGAAAAATTCGTGTACTCTTTTTTAATTTCGATTATATCAATAAATGGATAAAATTTATTTGTCAGATTGTAATTTGAAGTTTTACATCAATGAAATAAGAATTTTATCGTGCTTCAAGTTTTCAATGACGTGATCATTCCGACTACAATCGACTTCTTTGCATTTTTTTCAGTGATAACTTGCTGTATTAAGTCAGCAATTAACATATTTAACGATATTCATTCTTCAAAAATTCATCCACTCACGGCACAACTTCGTAATTTCTATATACATCAAATTCTTAATTAATCTATTTCTGATATTGATATCTATCTATATATATATGTAATTTTATTTTTCATCCCCAATTCGAAATTTCCAATTTAATTAAATCAAATTTCTCGTCCAAATACGAATTTATTTTCCTTAAACAACTTCTGAGATTCATTGAAAACTGAAGTTCTAATCTACTTCGACTTCCACCGTACGTCGATTTTGATAAATAAAAAAAGGAAATTATATCAATGATTACAACACGGATCGGACAACAATTCCACCTGTTCTCAATCTCCTCGTCGTTTCCTGTGTCGTGGATTAACTGTCGTGAATCGAGGACATCGAGGAATTCGACTACCGGGTAAAACAATCACGATTGCAAGATCGGCCCTGCGACACGTTTCAGCGCATAATTGCCGCGTTAAAAGTGCGAAGAAGCATGATCGTGGCATGGAGTAGCCGAGGATCTCGCGTGCACGATCGTTCATCGTCATCGTCGTCATCGTCGAATAGCGATTGCACAAGTTAGTGTACGTGGTGCAGATATGCGTGGCATGCGAGTCGCTTTATTCGTGGCGATACTGGCCACGATCGTCGAAATCTCGAGGGCCGAGTCGACTCGACAGTCCCTCCAGTGCAAGAACATCGCGAGGGACGTGATTATAAATAGCTGCAAAGGACCAAGGATGAAACGATCCCCGGAGAAATTTGACACTAGTAATGCGGATCAGATCGTAAAGGCGACTATATCAGGTTGGATTTCTCGTTCCTTTTTTTTTATATATGTTTCTTCAAGTGTACTTTGGATTTTATTAGTTTATAAGAATTTATGTGTATTTAATTTCAATTGGTATAAGTGTTGGAAAAATAGAAACATTAATACTCTACGCGAAATTCAATTATACGCGTGTAATTTGATGGAGAAATGAGGTCTCCAATGAGGAGAAGATATGTTTCTCGTTGTGAAGGATGTAAGATAGAATTATAAAATTATTGAATCCAATAGAAAAAAGAAACCATCCAAACAAAAATTTTCTGCCAATCGTGATGGAAGACAACAATGTTAAATGATAATTGATTAAATTTTTTGCAAATGGTGTTGTTCATCGAATCGAAAGTCAGTGAAATAAAGAATTAATTTAACTTTTAGATGTGATGGAAGAAAATCCAGTCGGAATGGAAATATTCGAGCCAGAAGGAAGCTATTATGTACAAGCTAGAATGCCTTTGCATCATGGCTCTTATGGTTATGGACTTATGCCTTCGAGATTCGGAGGGATAGGACAAAATTATCAATCGACCAATTTCCATCAATCAGAGCTTATCACGCCAGGACTCGAATTCATGGATACTCAGTACACTGGCATGTCAGGAGGAATGTACGGTTCCTCTCTACCTATGCGACCAAAATACCTAATAAGATCCGTCGTAAGTTCTTGATAATCAAGTTATGAAAAGGGGATTTAAATTCCGTACTTCTTCACGTTTCGATATTTATTCATCTTAATCAAAATGATTATACGAATGGAGAATAATATTAAAATAGCGCACAGTATAAAGTAACAATGAAAAGAAAAAAAAGAAACATATAAGTCGATTCTATGTAAAGTTTATTGCGTGCGTAAAGAAGATGTTCAAAGCGTAAAATGTTATTATTAAATTATCGATTTCGTGTATTATATATTTGAGGATCTGTTGTAATTAAGAACTGCGAGGGAAAGTGCAGGTTATTTATAGTTCTGATAAAATGAATAATATTGTCAATGAAAATGAAAGTTAATGTAGCATTATAGGTATGAATGCAATAAAACTCTTACTATCTCCATATCCATTTGTTTTATTTATTATTTCGAAAATATTTTCAATTAAAAAAATGTAAAAAAAAAAATTCGAGAAGTGTTATACTCTCGAAAAGGAATGGTAAAATATTCTCTGTTTAGAATTCATTATGAATTTATTGTTTATTATTATTAATTTGTAATTTTCTATGGATTGTTAATTCAATTATTAAAATATAATTATAGGCAATAATGTAAAAAAAAATATATATATATAATAATATGTAATAACAAATTTAAGTGTTAATTATACAGTTATGATAATTGTGGGAAATTAACGAATGAATCAAACTATTTCACAGAAATCGGACGATCTTCTCGGCTTCAATTTAAGCCCAGAAGAACTGGAAGAACTTCACAATGAGATCGGTGACAGAATGCCAAGAAACTCGAAGAATCTTAACAAGAGAATTTTCCAACAGATTGCAATGAAATGCTGTCCGAATGCGAGACTGTGCTACGATAATCCACGAATAATTCCTTGTATGGGATATTAAAGACGACTTCGCGATTCACTGTTGATATTTTATCATCGAAAAGAAATACAAACGGTTACTTAAGAGTTTATTATTTAAGGAAAACGATACTTAAGGAAATGTACATATTACTTAAATTCTCAGATGTCTTCTTGAGAATATTTAAAGGAAATAAAATACATGTTGTTGCGTTTGTCTAGTTTTGCATAAATTACGATCTTTTTTATACGTTTTTCTTTTTTTTTCTTTATCTTTATATTCGTTTACCTGAATTTAGAATCAACATTTATTCTGGGAATAAATCAAATATAATTTAATTTAGATTCATCTTAAAGATTTATAAATCTGTAAAGTTTATAAATCTGTTTCATTTATTTAAATATGATATGTTTCTTGTTTTTAAAGATTAAAAGTTAAAATTTTAGATTAGATTAGATCGTTCTCTATTAAAAATAATAAAACATTTTTGAAACATTTCGCGATAAATATTTTCTTAAAACGTTACAACAATGTGTGGGGCTATAATATTATAATAATTTGTTGCGTACAATTATGCAAAATAAGCAAATTTAGATAAAATATAACATAATTACATTTCCGATCCGATCTCATATTAAAATGTAAATAACATAAGAACATCGCTTTTCATTTGAAAACAGGTTTCATTTGCATTTAATATATGCATGATATATATTTAACAAGTATGAACTGCTACTGCAATACGTATGATTAATCTTTTTAAAATTACATAATCTTCTTAAGATTACTACTTAACCACTGCAAATGCAAAAGATAACACGCAAGATGATTTTCTCAAGATCTTTCAAATAAAATGCATTCGTAGGATATTAAAAAAATTAAATCAGATTAAAAAAGAATCATGTTCATAAATCAACATAATGACATATGTTTTTTATATTGTTTAATAACTTACGTAATAACACGATTCTCTCATAATTTTTCCTTCGACTCTACAAAATTTGGACTCCCAAAAAGAAATATATAAAAGTTCGATCGATAAATAATCGAAACTTACAACCCTTCCCCTTCCCTCCTTTAAGAAAAAATATTACTCCGCTCGTTCCTAAAATTCGTCATAATTCGATCGAAAGGCTCGTTGAAATCTCGAAGAGAAAAATAATCTCGAGCAAAAGTTACCTTACAAATAATACCTTACATTTTATTTACATCAAAATTAATACAATTTCATCGCCTCTATATACAAGTCATCCAACGCGACATTTAATACATATTTCGTTTTCTCCAATCTCACGGTCGATGATTCGCGTTTTTAATGAACGTGATAAAGGGAAACAAGGTGAGTTCTCGAGATCATCAATCGGAAATCAGACGATCTTCACGCTCGCACGCTTCGAGCATCGGATACCGTATCATCCGCGGCACTTCGGGCCGAAAGTGCACTCGCACGAAGAATCGCGAGGGAGAGAAAGAGAGAGAGAGACAGAAAGAGAGAGACGATGTCCCGTAGTGGGTTTGCTACTATCATCCAATTTACAAGCGAACCGTGTGCAGCGGTTAATGGCTGACGGAATAATGGACAGTGTTCAGGTAGTGATGGGATCGAACGTGGAAAAATATTCGTTTTGCGCGAAAATATCGTTTCTCTCGTTTACGTACGATTTTGCAAAGTTTTATACTCTCTTTTCCTCTCTCTTTCTCTCTTTCTCTCTTTCATTTTCATTATTCTTCTCTTTTTTCAAATTTTGCGAAAAGTCATAAAGTTTATTTCTGCGCTTTCGAATGACTCTTATGTGCTCTTGCATACCTGTTTCGGGGATCGTATTTTTGGAGCCATCTAGAAAATTATTCAAGAAACGACACGTTACACGTGTGCTTTTGAAATCAATGTTTAATCGGTGTGTGCAGTTTATTGCTTTACGAATTCTATTTCGAATCTCATTTCTGATTGATCTGAAGGATCGTTGACGAAAGAACAGATAGAGTAGAAGTCAGAGTTTTGCATTTTTTCATAGGGAGAATATCTTGACACGATGTTAAAAATGGGAAGATATTAATTTTTATAAGATTGATTCTCGACCATGTCTTATCAAGATATTGGTCATATTGATTCAATAAGTATCGTGAAAATCAAATTATTATCATTTTTCTCGTCAGAGAACAACATAATCTAAGTTATCGTTGTCGTGATTTAAAATCTAACTCGTATTTTTGATTTTATATTTTCAAATTTTCGGAAATTCTTATGATTTCTAGGGAACGCGATTTATATTTTTTCCTCCTACGAGACAACAACAAGAAGAAAGCATGTTGAACCAAGAACGATTTTTAATTTTTAAAGAAGCACGTGTACCGAAATCGTATCACGAAATCTAATAAAGGCCGATCTCTCGTGAATTTCTATTGAGTAGAAAGACGAGGAGAAGCAATGCTTGTTCTCGCTCTTTGTGCACGAGTAGCATGTCCGACACGTTGACACAACGTGATCTGTTAATAGTTCAATCTATCAGAAGATGCACCAAAATGCATTTTTAGATTTTTTTAATATCCATCTTAATGATTAGTTTCACTCTTTTACATTACGAGAACAAATAATAAATAAAATGATGATTCATCTTTTCGAGTCTCAATAAATGACAATCATTAAACTTGTTTCAAAAGAGAAAAATATTGTTAATACTTTAAATGATTAATTAGAATTACAACAATATCATGAATTATTTGTTTATGAAAAAAAAACATTATGATGAATCACATAAATATAGATATTTTGAAGATAATTTTCTTCTTACATATTCAAGAAATTATATATTGAATTATATCATAATAATTTCTCTATCAAAAAGCAGAAAATATTACGTGGTTATAAATTCTAAATTCAAAATTAAAGATTCACTAATAATATATTGAGGATTAATGCGGTGAACTAAATACGAAAGAAAAATCAGAGACCAAAGAATAGGCAAACAGAAATGACAATGAATTATGATGGTACAAGCAAGTGAAATATATCATTGTCGGAGCGGCTTTCAAAATGTGTGAAGACAGAAAGAGGGAGGGAAGGAAGATGTACAGTAGACGATAAATTATCTTCAACTTTTACGTAACAAATAAGAAATCCAAAATTAAATATCTCTGACCGTTATGAATATCCACCACTATTATTAAATATTCAGAAAAGAAGAACTTTCCATCCGATATATCTCCATCCTTTTTCAATTTCGAAAAATATTTGAAAATAACGATGAAGTTTAATCAATTGCAGGAATAAATTTCACTTTTTTTACGAATGTAAATATTATTATTATTATTATTATTATTATTATTATTATTATTATTATCATCATCCCCGAGAAATAAATCGAGAAAAATGTGTCAAGTTAATTCTTTCTAGTATTTCCATGCAAATTCTGACAGATTGAACTGGGAAAAAATTTCCATGTATATCGACAACGAAAATCGATCCCATCGCTATCTGCAATCCGGTTACGCAAGAACCCGCCACGTGTCCCGTTTGAATCGCGATCTCTTATGGTCGACGCGTCTGAACAGGAAGGAAGACTTCGCGAACAAGTAACTATTCGATTGATATAAATAAATCGTTCCTCGTTACACAGGACCCATGGCGACATACAAATTATTTACAATGAAAGGTCGATTATGATTTGTGTGTGTATGTGTATGAATACGTATGACGAATAAATGAAAGCTATATATATATATAAAATGCTCGTGAAATATGAATACTTGATGGAAGAAATATAATAAATAAGATATTCTAAATAAATCTTCTTATTGCATCGTGTAAATAACAATAATTGTAAAGAAAATTATGTGTTATTTTTATTCTTCTGAATTTTGACAAAGAAAAAAAAAAGTATTAACTCTGCTACGAATTCTTTTATAAATCTTTATCTATACGAATTTTCACGAAAAATCGAATTTGAAGAATTATGAATAAAAAATAAAAATAGATAACTACGATTCTTTCGTATTCCCAATTCATCAATATAGATAGAAAAATATTAGATTGGACCTCAAAAGATGATCCAAAGAGCATAGCAGGATTAATTATCATTCTAGAATATTTATTAAGATTCTTACTTATATTTCTTCCGATATCTCACTAATTTGCATACACTACTCACTACGCATAAAAACAGCGGAATTTAAAATGGCACACTCGAATGTATCGAGGATCGAATGAAATAAATTAACTAATTGAAAAACTAAGCAAATGACGTTTAAACACATCTGGTGGTTCGCGATCCTCGATCATTATGCACCACTCGAGTGTGCCTCGAGTATCTCACTATACAGTACGAGGCAAAATTGAATGGTGTTAAACGGCACGGCAATGTTCTATCGCTGGTATATCCGTTTATATGCATCTGCTTATTTGTGTTCGGTTGTAAAGAGCAATTGCGCTTCCTTTTTAGGTCATTCGATTGAAAAGCAGTCTGAATGTTGTTCTTTTGAAATTTCTATATTAGTAATATGCGCTTTGTAACGAATAGCGAACGTAACGAAAATAAATTTCGAAATTACTATAATGGTTGTCTTAAAATCGTTCAATTTTGCCTCGAGAAGATTCCAATTTAATTTGGAAATCTTCTGTTTCAAATCTTTTCGTGGGAAACGAAGAATAGTATTATCCAGGCTGAAAAATTTAGATGTAAAAAAATAGATTTAAAAAAAAAATCGATTTCTATTAAAATCCGTTTTCTTATAAATCAGATACTAAATTTTTCGCATGGATTTTATCCAAAAAAAAAAAAAAAAGAAATAAAGAAAGTCAGAACCATTACTCGATTTTTATCATTTTCATGGAAATTTTTTGATTGAAAACTACTTCACGATTATTTTTCACTTTTCCCTTGGTTGCTAGCTACCTCTCACCGTCGTCCTTAGTGACTAGTTCGTTCAGCACTAATTTATTAAACTTAGAAAATTCCTTAGCTCTAATACTAGTGAGATCATTGTTCGACAAGGGGGTTGAAAGTGGCCGGTAACCGTGCGAGAAAAATGAAAAAAGACAAAAAAAAAATGTATAGAGAGAATATCTCCGAAACTAAATCTAAATTTCACATTTATGTCTTGTTAAAAAAAAAGAAGAAAAAAAATAATAATAAAATAAAACGAAAAATCGAGCAAAAAAGGTACATATATATATATATATATATATACATATATATATATACATACGTTTAACGTATTAGATTAGACGTTACAACACTGGATTTAAGTCTTTCTCAGAAGATCGCGCGCGATTATTGGCCCGGGATCTTTTCAAACATGTACAGCTTCTCCATTTTTTTTTTTTTTTCTTATTCAGCTACGAATTCGTGCAATTTATTCCAAAATCCTCCGTGTCACTCAAGAAGAGATGTCGTTCTCGAAACGATGCGACGATCCACGTACGAGAAATCCACGATTTTTTCTTTTCTTTTTTTTTCTTTTTTTCCTTCTTTTATCATATTCATTCTTTCTTTAGATTTGGACTTAAAATATTTGATTTATGGAAAAATTTGTCGAAATTTAATTTATATACAGATAAGAGCAATAAATTTCCCAAAAATTCCCGACATTTCACGCCGTGGATTCGAAGGGAGGACGATCGAACGACTTATTATTCTCGTCTCTTAAAAATCTCTTTTCCTTTGACTCGAGAAAATACCACGACCAAATTTATCACTGTTTTATGGGACTAGACATCTTCTTATTGATTTTCACGCTCTCCTTTTCCGAGTTACGTCAGTTTCTCATTTTTTCTTCTTGCATTTCTTCTTTTTTCGTCCATCGGATTTTTTCTTTACGTCTTTTTCTTTCGTTTCTTTCTTTTCGTTCTTTTTTATTTCTTTTTTTTCTTTTTTTTTTCTTTTTAATCTACTCTCTTTGTTCGTTACAATTTTGTCGTTGACTTTTAAACTCGTGGTCACTTCGATTATTCCTGATAAGTATGCACGAATGAAGGAGGGAAGAGGTAAGAACGGAGAGTTCGATGCCGAGACGCGGCAAAATGGCGCCGCTTAGGATATTATTCTTTTCCTCTCCCTCGTTTTTCATTATTTTTTTCTCCATACGTTTTGAAGAAATTATTCGCTTTTGTTCGATGACACCGGCAATTTTAATGTTTCGTGCCTTGATGTTTTCACGCCTGGTGTCTTGTCTAACATCTGGAACGTGAGAAAAGAGAATTTTTATCTATCTGCTGTTAATTTTTCTCATTCTGTTTCTATAAGAAAGAATTATTTTCTCTTTGTCGTTCGATACTTGTTTCGAAAATTCTTTTTCTTTCAGTGTGATCAAACATTTATAAAATATACACAATTTGTTTAGTTCGATAAGGGAACGAATCATCAATGAAATTTAAGAAAGAGAAATAAACATTTTTTCAATCAAGAATACTTGGAAAGTATCGCGTGATATTCATACAGCGTATCGTCAATATTATATATTTATTCCATTTGCGAAATAATAATTTAGAAAAAAAGAAAAAAAAAAAGAAAAAAAGTTCCAAGATAATGAAATCGCGAAACGAGCTCGAGAATGAATGCAACCGCAGATTGCACTTACAATTAGCTATGCAAGCGCAATTAAAAATGCCTGATCTGATCCCTTATCGTCTTTGTTTACTTATTATTGGATCTCGTTTAATTTCTCTAATAGTTCGACGAAGATAATTCACCGACACTATGGAAACGTTTATTATAAAACTGTTGACTTATTATAAAACTGCTGATTCCACCGGACCATATTTATCTCGGAAAAAAATATATTTATGTTATGTAGATTAATTAAAAAAATTTCCGATAAAACAAATTTTAATCATGGTAGATTAAACTAACATCATAATTTCAATGAAGATACCATATGGTAAAATCATGAATATGTTTATAATATTTAAATATTAAAATTTTATTCCTATCGAAATATAATTTAATAATATTTTCAAATAATTCAATTGATCGCTTTAATTAACTCTTCTCTTTCTCTGAAAAATTTTTCATATTCCTATTCTATAAAACAACAAAATATTTCAAATGCCAATATTTTTTTTCTTTTTAACTTATAAATATTAAGCTTCAATATTTTTATATCTAATAAATCTCTTTATTCTAAAGTATCAAAATTCAATTCATTTTTATCTTCAATCATTTTTCGTATGATGTCGTATAAAAATTAAACATAGATAGAACTCTTAACATTTAGAGATCTGTGCCTAATGCTATTTAAATCCACGTGTTTAGGAGCTTTGTTAGAGTTCAGGTCACGATGACTATCTTAGGTCAGCAGCTGTTTCTAATAGTCGATAAGGTGACTTGGATATCTCGTAGAAATGAATTCTTCGATCTCAACATATTTCTGCATCTCGAAAGATACATTTGTTCGTGAAAAATATAAATGTTTTTTTATATATGTATGTATATATACTAATAATAATAGATTACTATTTATAAATGAACTTTTATTATTTGAATGAAAAATCATAGGTATTTGTGCATCGACTGGTTCACATGTATAAATGATGTTCAATTTCTATTTATTATTTATTATTTTTTTTTATTTTCATTCCACAATAAATATTTGTAAAATATATATATCATAGATTAAAAATTTAAATAATATAATTAAGATATATATATATATAATAAAAATTTAAACAATTATACTTAAATGATTCCATAAGAATCTCACGAAGAATCACAGTTAGGCATTACAACAAAAAAGAATTCCATCAAAAAGTGTCTTACAAAGAATCATAATGATTACAAACTAAGGAATTCCATCAAACAATCTTACAAACAATCACAAGATAAAGTATCTCGTAAGAAACCTCAGAAAGAATCACAGCTTATTACAACTAAAAGATCCACACAATCCCATAAAATATCACAAAAATCGATTTATAAAAATCCTAAGCTATTCCTAAGTAACGAAAAAAAGAAAAAAAAAAAAAAAAAAAGAAAAAAAAGAAGAAGAAGAAGAAAATATACGGATGGATTTATTGGACGGAATATATCGACCCCTCACAGGGCCTCCGCAATATCATGGCTCTCCCCACACGTCGAGAATTAAATGACTCGAAAAATTTTACGATTCGTCGAAAGAAAATCGAGAAGTTTCTTAATAACATGTCAGTAGCATATCACCAGAACTCGAGTGATCCAATAATAAGATATCACGAGGATAAAAATTTGAATAAGTGAGAGAATAAGTGAGAGGAGGAGGAGGAGGAGGAGGAGGAGGAAGAGAGAAATGATGAGGGATTAATTGGACGGTGATAGACACCTTGCCAGGACGACGACGCCTCTGTCGTCGATGCCTGCAACCGCAATGGCCGGTTCGATGCCTCCTCATCGAGTTTCTCCCATCGCAGCCGCCGGCGTCGTCGTCACGGTCCGTGTTAGCCCCCTTCTTTCGTGCCCCCTTCGATCCATGGATCCTGCACTTGATTGTACCGTGGACGTAGCCGATATCCGACCTCGATCTCTCTTCCGACGACGACGAGGCTGCCGACCTCGTAGGCAGGTACGGGTATTTTATCCAGACCGGACTCTTTCTATAAAATAAACGGAAACAAAAATGGCGAATAATGAAGATGAGGATAGGTTTGATTTTGCTATTGATTTTGAAGACGTATATGAGATACAAGCGGAAGCGATGTGTATTTTGTCTGTCTATCTCAAATGAAAGTTTTGTGCGTTGAAGGCGCATGCATAGAATTGGTATATATTGGTATATATTGATATATATATTTGAATCTTTCATTGTTGTATCGAGATACTTTTCTTTATTATTATGTTAAAGTATTATTGTTCCGTTGGATAAATTTAAAGTTGAAAGTATATCGAATTGAAAAATATATTGTATATATCATAATAATTCTAAAAGATTTCTATTTGATTTTTTTTAATATCGTCAGAATTATAAAATTGTCGATAAAAGTTATTAAATTTTTAGGAATTTAATTCAATATATGGCTTTATAACAATTTTGAAAGAAAATTATCCGCATTATTTTCTTTAAAAAGATGACAAATTAACTTATGCATTTAAATGTAGATAATAATCATCTTAATGAGAAATGAAATAGACGAGTATAATAATGTAGATAGAGTTTCTAATTATAAAATCTATAATGGTATAAAAAAAAGACTTGTTCAATGTCTGGCCGTAGGCAGACATCTTTAATAATGGAAAGGTTAATTACAAGAAAGAGTAGAGACATTATGCAAGATCATTTATTTTCTTTCCTCTTGGATACATTTATTTTACTCATTCAATGTATTAATAAAAAAGAAGATAATGAGAGAAAGAGACAGAGAAAGGAAATGGAAGAATGTAGACAGTAAAATATTTGTGAAGAGAATAATGAATGCAACAAGGTTTGTTAGGCCACTCATTAAAGCATTATTGAAGTTCGAGGAATGTTTATACGGAAAACTGCAATTATTCTTGTTCATGATGTTGATGGCAACGAGTAATTTTTAATTTTTTTTTTTCCTCTACCTTCAGTCCAGGCCATAATTACATTTTTTTTTTAAAGCATATGATTGTTAAAGCAAGAAATTATTCATCGCAAGATTATTGCGTACGTGTCTAGACAGCAAGAATATACATTCCTTCGGGACAACTGAAGAGATTCTTAATCATAATTGATGTTCCTCGTCAGATGTATGAAGAGGCACTGATGAAGTCGATTGTGCAATATAAAATGAGACATGGAAACATTATTTCAAAAGAATAAATACATTGGAAGACACATGTAGCAATCATTGGATTTAATATTAAGTCTTGCCTAAGGTATAATCATTCATTTGCAAACATGGTAGAAAAAAGAATGGTAGAAGAAAATGATAGAAGAGGAAACAATCGATTTCTAGAATATTCTACACATTTCTACAAATGACAAGAAATTACGGTTTTTATTTTAGAGTAAAAAAAAAAAAAAAAATAAACTTTTAAATAGAAACTTTTAAGCAACAGCTAAGTAGAAAATAGAAGTGGACGTAAGAGGTTAACAGCCATGTCAGATAATGAATTACATATGTTAAAAAGATACTACACGATGATATAAATATTATGTAAAAATAAAACAGTTGAAAATTGCAACATGATATAACGTATTGAGATAAACTCTTAATTACATTAATATAAATTGGTAAGTAGTTATGAAGGACGTTTTTATTCTTTCACAGAAGTTCACAGTCGATATAATTCATGCACAATAATATTTCTATTACTTTGTAAATTGTTTATAATATCAATATTATTATTTCTTTTTAGCTTAATTATGTCATTATTTTCTTGTATTAATAAATATTTTTTTCTTCTCTTAAGAATATGATTCATGCTTGACTAATTTTACTGATTTAATATACTGTTGATAATACCTACGCAAGATAATATTGAAATAATAAATAAAAGAATTAAACATTCATTAGTAATTGTTAATTGTTATTAAAAAATTAATAACAGGGATAGATAATATCACTTTCAATTTTGAGCAGAGTGAAAAATATTATTTTGAATTTTTTTCTTTAAGATCCATAAATAAATTTATACAGATATATTAAAAAATATAATTTTCATTCTTCATATTCTACACATCGTTATTAAATAATTAATGCAAAATGAATTCGAATCGTCAGAATTTAATTATTTTTAAAACGAAATAAATAAATGAAAAAGAATTTTAAGTAATTTTCTTAATTCAGAAAAATTCTTTTTTTTTCTTACAATGATATTACCTATATCAAATTTAGCGGGATGAGAAACATAACGCGATCATTTTTCAAAACAGAAGGAAAAAAACGAATGCATCATTATTAAAAATCTCTCGTGTTCAAGGAACCAGCATGTACCATTAATCAAAACGACAGTTGATATTTCATATTTGGCCACGCTTGAAAATATTTGATTCACATGTTTCTGTATATCTTTGGTAAACAAGAAGCGCGAAATCGATAATGGAGCTGAATGTTGTGCGCTTGCGCATTCGATCTTTGAGAGAAGGAGAAAAAGAATAAGGAAGAGAAGAAGAAGAAAAATATTTCAAAGAAGAAAAACAAGAAGAGATTCTTGAAAGAGATTCTTGAAAAAGAACGAGAAGAAGATTTTGAAGAATAAGAGAGAGGGAGAGAGAGAGAGAAAGAAAATAAAAGAAGATCCTGTCAGAAGAATCCATCAGACCTTTAAAAAAGGAAGAAGAAGAAGGGTCAAAGAGGATCTTGACTGAGAAAAAGAAGATACAGAGCGAGAAGATTTTGAAGTATAAGAAGATGATGAGCAAGACAACTAAGAAAGAAGATTGTGCAGAAAAAGAAAAGAAAGAAAGATGAAAAGAAGTTCTCCAAGAATAAGAACGAGTATAAGAAGAAAAAGATTTTGAAGAGTCATAAAGAACGAGATCCGCTTGTCCATCTCTGGGACGAGAAAAGAGGATTGAAAAAAAAAAAAAAATATGAAAAAACTGTAGATCGAGCTACGAAACAGATAGCGTCGGTTTGATCGTCCTAGTACTTCGGACTAACCTTCCTGGCGCCATGCCACTTCACGCAACCGTGAACTTTAGGAAAAGCGACAGAGATTATCGTGGAGCGACTGATAATGAGCTGCTCTCTCGTGCTCTTCTCTCTCCTTTTTTCTCTCCTTTTTTTTTCTCTCTTTCTCAGCGACAATTGAACCGGCCGGTTAATAACTACAGCTTCGCGAGCCACCTACTATCGACATGGTAAAGTCCAACGAGATGAATTCTATCGTGGAGAACGAAAGAATAACAACTCGTTGATTGGAAACTCAACTGTTCCCGATGGAACGCGGGTAAATAGATGATTTTGTTGTACCGATCGGAACCGAGCCAATAACTGATGGATATTAATTGCACGGTATGGGTATAGTACTGGATGCTCTGTCGATCAGTCTTGGATTGATTGAATTTATTTTTGACGAATTCTTTTGCGAAAAAACTTGACTAGGATAGTTGATGAATATGAATTGAAAGCTCTTTCTCATCTTGGATGGATCGTTTGTTTGTTTATAGATTCTGGCAAGTATTTGCCAGTGATTTGAATCAATTCTAAATATTTGAATCTTCTCAGTGTTGGCTGTTGATGGAAAGATTTTATCATTAAATTTTATCAAGATCGAAACTTCAAAGATCTAAATAAAAGCTTCGAAAATTAGGTTAAACAATCTGGATCATCATTTTAAATACATATCTGGGTTATAGTCAATATTTGTGATTATATATATAGATCAATCAGAGTTAAAAACAGATTCTCGAATATTAAAAAAAGAACACATGAAAGATTCTAAATAAAATTTAAATAAAAAAAATAATTCACGTTTGACAGAAAAATATAACGTTGAATATTAAAAGTCAATATTTTTATTAACATAGTCTCGCCGTGCAAGACGATCTCCGCGAAAACAACTTCCTTGTGTTATAAATAATTCGATAAACGAGCGCTTGCAAGAGAAATAAAAATAAGCGTGATATACGAATAAATAAGAAGGTTAAAAGAAACGATCGAGTCGTAGAAGCTATTTCGAACTTGGAATTGTTGTAACGAGGTCGGTGGGAAATTAATCTCGTACCCGATAATTGCAGCCGAAATCACTGGAAAAAACCCAAGGCGGATTGGAGGTTGTTGCGAGGGGAAAAAAAAAGACAAAAACTTTGCATAATGGAATATTCAGCAGTTGAACAGGCCAATTTAACAATTAAATCGATTAGAATTCCACGAAGTCGATGATTTCCGGCATCCTCGAGACAGAGAAGAAATTGATCGTCGAGATGAATGTTAAACACCTTCGTTTAAGATTGATCGTCAAGGCTCATCCGAGGTATTATTGGAAAGATTAACGAAGTCAGAGGTAAGCGACCATAATTGACAACTAGAAATAATGTTGACCCCCTCAATTTCACTAGAATTATTAATGAAACCGCGTCTTCTCGAGTGAGTTTTCAGTTGACCCATAAAATTCTACCCTACTACAGAAGATTAATAGATGCAGATCGCAAGTTATCATTGCTATTATGATTAATAATCTAATTTTCAATCACTCTTAATATTACAATCACTGGTAATCATTAGAAAAGAAAATCAATCGAAACACTCTTTGGAACCATTAAAAACTACACAAAAAACAATCTTACAAAATCATCGATAACCAAACTCATCATACTATCCTATTAACACAATCATTTCCTTTCAATCACTTTCACTTTCACGGATTTAAAATTTCCCAAAATTAAAAATTCCTCATCCAAAATCACCAAATTACTCCACCAACAAACCTTACGATCAAGATTCATCCCAAGAAAAAGTATCATATCCATATATATATATAAAACAAAGGAAGCAGAGAAAGCGATATAAAAATGGAAAAGAGAAGCAAATGTCGTTGCAACGTTGAAGGGTGGGGAAAAAAATATCAAAAGAAAACAGAAGAAACTAACATCCACTCACACGGCGTCCACGGAGCTGGCGTTATCCGGTTTGCAGTACTGTTCAAGCTGAGCATAGCTGCACTGATGGTAGCAACACTCCTCCGCGAGTCCGGGCCCCACAGTGTCCATAGGGTCGTCCTCGCCACTGTACGAAAACGGTTCGTTGTATCCACGACCCTTGCACGCGAGGTACAGGGCGTCGCTGAGACTTTTCGAGCACAGCCTGAGCAACGATCTCTTGTACGGTATGCCATTCACGGCGTCGAGAAGTGTGAGCAACACCAAACCGACCAGGACTATCGTCCTGGCCCTGCTCGGCCTGAACATGGCCGTTTTGAAACCACTTCGTGGCATCGTGTCGTCGATAACGATCAATTTTCGTGCGTAATACACTGAACGTTTTCGTGAACCAGACTGATACCGATTCACTATAGCAACACAGTGACACGTGTCGTTCCTTCCACTTCTCCAACTTTATATATATATATATATATATATATATATAATATATATATATGTATGTGTATATATATATATATATATATATATATATATATATATGTATATATATATATATATGCTCCGAAACTCGATTCAATATTCCTCGTGAACTTTTGATATTACCTTCCGATCTTTCAAGAACTTTCCCAAACTATTTTTATCCGTGATATTATGCTCTTCGACGTGATACGATTCGATCGAAATCATAAGTTTTTTTTTTAAATAATTCGAATGATTCGAAAAAAGGATCATCCGAGCGACGAATTGGGAACGATGCGTACCTGACACCGTGTTACGATAAACTAGGTGTTCCAGGTGGTCAGGATCGGTTTTATATACGCGCACTTTACGGTGAGATCGGGAACGTGCGGCGTTCGTCGTTAACGGTTGAACGACGGCGAGCACGGAGCGCGCGGGTTCTCGTTTCCCGAAGATGAGACCTCCGTTGGTACCGAGTTCCTCGGTGCCACTGGTACCGGCTCGCCTCGCCACGCGGTTCTTGTTCCAGATTTCACGGATTAGAGGAGTGGAACGATAAGGAGACGCACGAGAGAGGGGAAAAGCGATCAGCCACGGAGTAGGTGGCGGAGAGTTGGAGCGGGATTATACAGGGAAGGGGGAGGTCATGGCGGGCTGCTGGTGGTACACGGCCTCGTGTGTGATCCACGGTTAGATGGAGAGAAGGGGTCGATGGAGCGAGATCGTTCGATCCCTGTCACGTTTCTTCGGCAAGGAAGGAATCGAATCGTGTTTGAAACCGACCGTTCTTTTCTTATTCTTCTTCTCTTCTTGAGCTGAATTTAATTATCCCCAGAGAGAGGAGGGAATATACAACCTCGTCTCGAATGGGGAAGGGGAAGAAAGGGGGAGGGAGAAGAGAAGAAAAAAAGAGAGAGAGAGAGAGAGAGATCGTCGAACATTGTAATTTACGTCGTAATTTTTACGTGTAATGGTGGCAGTGTGTATTTCGAATTTTTTCATTTCACACGGTCACGCAGATGGTGGTGGACGGAAGTTTACGTGGACGAGAGCGAGGAATGCGTGAGTAGATGTGCGTACGCGTGCCTTTTTTTTTTCCCCTCCTCGACTCGAATCTGTAAGTGTAAAGATAATACAGGGGTTGAGATTGTTCGTAATTAATCGCGCTTTATTTCGTACCGAAACGATAAATCGTATTTTCGAGGAGATAGGCGGGAGACGTTCCGATCGACCTCCTACCCTCGTTTCTTTCCGACGATCGCACTAATTCCGATTATCCGGGTATCGAGAGATCGTTCAACGTTTCTATGAATAGAAACCTTGTATGGGGGGTGAAAACAGACCGGCAGATAACAGAGGCCGAGGTTTCCACTAGCGATTTAAAAGGTGACGTTTCCGTAAGAGATATATTACTTCGTTTTTATCGAGGACGATGTTTGATCGAGCATCGTGACGTGTAATGTGAATTTGTTAAACTTTCATCGGCATTCGTTCACTTTTTTTCTGTCTGAATTAATGGAGATTAGAAGGATGATAACTGAAAAATAGAAAATTAATATCTTTTATTATTATTATTAACGAAATATTATATATTTGGTCTTTTTATTTATAAGATTAGAGAATATGGAATCATTTCTCCCTTCGTATTTCTTTTTAAATAGAAAATTAGTTATAAATTTAAAAAAATGAAGAACATCGTGTTAAGAATCAGAGATTCGATTACGATTTACGTAAATTTTTCTATGATTCTTTGCTCGAGTGCAGTTTTTTGGAATGGAACGATAATATTTTGTTTTATACAGCAATTCCGTTCTTTTTTCTCTCTCTTTCTTTAAATCGATTGGTATAAAAGTGCAATAACGAGAACGTTGGTTATAGACGGTGTCAATTTACGGGTCGTCAGCACTCGTATCGATTTCCCTTCGCGTAAGTGTAATCGAAACGCGTCCGGGATGATTTTTCTTTTTTTTTTCTTTTTTTTTTTTTTACATTCTTAAGTTAAACGATCGATTTTAAACTCTCATCTAGTTCGAAATTATGAAAGATGAAGATGGAAGATGAATCGATCGTTTGATGAATTTTGGTCGTGGTTTCTTCTCGTCTCCTTTATTTCTGATCACTTTCCTGTTTGGTTACGCAAAACGAGGGATATTTATAAACCCGTATAACGGGTTTCGCGAACCTCGTACATCGATACTTTGTCTATGTTTATTGTATTACTGGTATTAGACACGGGATAGGCAGAACAGTACAGGCTATCAGTTTTACTATTTCCATGGCTGTGCCCTTGCTATCTTTTTTGAACGAATTCCATACCTGTTCATGAATCTCGTTTCTAAGCTGGTATAGAAATACATTATTCATCTATTTATAGAAGAAAACCGCAAGAAAAAATACGATGACTAACATTTCTTTTATTACGTTACGCTAAATATATTCACAAATATTGTAATAGCGTTTAGTATCCTTTTATGATCAGATTTATGTTTTCTCTTTTTCTCGAATTGAATTTTCGCAATTCAAAATTTAACAGTTATTTGAATCCATGATTGTAAATGAACTAAAAATAACTTATCACAATATTCCATTTAAACTTTTACAAAAATAGCAACATATATACACACACACACACACACACATATATATATATATATATATATTATATATATATTATATGTATAATATGCATATATCATGACTCATTTTACGTGAATCAAATCATGCATATCAACGTTTACAAACTCGTCAATGACGTCATTTTATTTTTTTTATCTTTCTGCCACGATAATTCTCACGTGCCATATTTTCGTTAATCGAATCGTGCATATCTACGTTTATAAATTCACTCTTTCCATTTTTATACAAGTATATAAATATATTTGCGTTTGTAATAACAATAAGTCCAATATATCATCTTTTCTCTAAACAAGGAAACGAGATAAATTTTGCCATAAATCTGATGTTTCTTTGTTTCCCTTTGTTTGTTGGTTATTTGTCGTGGTTTTTCACGTTGAAATTATCGATGTTCGACATGGTCAACTCTTCGTGATCATGTTCAATTAGTGCGATGGTCAGCAAGTTTCTCCACGTGTCGTGTTATAGTGCACTTTATCTGCGCGTGATAGCAATTTATAAAGGAATTCTTTGGATTTTCGCGATGATATCCGAGGCGCGTATGGTGTCGATTTATCGTTTCATTACGTAGATAGGTAGGAATTCGCGTATCGATTAGAGTGATGACGTGAAACGCTCTTTTTTTTTTATTGCGGGTTATTATCGTACGAAAATGATATATGATCGTGAAGAAAGAAGATTCGAATGCTTTTGCAATGGTCGTGATACATTATCGTAATTTATGGTAATATTACCTTAATGATATTGTATCATAGATAATGTTATATTATTATAACGTTCTAAAATATACTTAATAATAATAATTTTGGATATTCGAAATTAAGAATTTTCTTTTTGACTTCAGATAATTTTTTTTTCTTTATTTAGAAATTAGAAAGAGTTATGTACGTAATGATAATGTTCAAATTAACTTAATCTAACCTAATGGCCTGAAGATATTTTATATATATTTCTCTTTCTTTTAAATATCTAAAAATTTTTAATTTTAATTTTGTATTATTAAAAGAATTCGATCTAAGAAAAATTTTAAATGATGGATTATTCGAAGGGTTGTTACCTTCTTCAATGATGGAATTTTTTGATGAATATATATCTTTAGAACCGGAGCAGATAATTTCTTACACGCGAAGTTTTTTAGTTCTTTCAAAACCATCAGACAGAGACTAATTTTATCTGTGATAAGAATTTTTATTGCTACGTTAGCGTTGATTTTTTATTATTAGTATTGCCTCGTATGCTCGAAAATCACTTCGATAGCATAAATTATTTCACATTTTTTTTCTCGACTGCAAAATGCACATTACATAAATCATCCTGCGTTGAAATGCAAATTCAAGAATTTCCCATGAGTTGCAAAAATTATACATACACACAATCATGATAATTATTGCTTTAATCACAATAATTATATCTATTATTCCATTGACATTTTCTAAAAAAAAAAAATTCTAAATCACTATTCGATTGATAAATATAATTTAATTTTGCTATATATATCTCTCACAATTTTATAATCTTATGTAATTAAATTAAATTTTAAAAAAATCCAAAACAATTCGCTTAAATTACTCGAATAAACTACACAAAAATATTCTCAAAAATGTTCCACCATCTTTCAATACTACCAAATATACACTCGTCAAAAAATTCAATTCACTTTCCCAATCAAAAACCCTGTCTAAACTCCCTGAAGAATCAAAACTATCCAATAATATTCCAAAACAAATCGACGAACACAACAATACTTGTACACACAGTAATCTCTCATGTCTAGACTTGCTTCCTGGGAGCGTCGAGAACGGGGTTAAGTTCGAGCGTCTTCCAGACAGTATCGTATGCGCTGTCGATCATTCCTGTCTATCTGTTTTTCACCAGTTCTATTTTTTTTCTAGGAAACTGGACAGGGGGGTAATGGCGGGTAGACGGGCGTGCAGCTGTGGCCGAATCTAGGTCCGATTCTGGGCTGGAATCACGTGCACACTGCTGTTGACTGCACTTTGAAATCGGGGCTATGTGGCTCGCGGGGGGGGGCGATAAAGCTGTCTCTGAGGCCGTATCCGATAGAACGAGGACGAGCGTGCATTAGTGGAGGATCTGTTTGTGTATGCACGAATCACGAGGAGGAAAGTGAGCGCTTCGAAGCAGCCGTTTTATCACATGTGAGAATCGATGAGGAGTGAAGATCGAGGTGCGTATGTAATTTCGGGCTGACCAGCCACTTGGCTCTACTACTGGATAATACGAATATTCGCGTCGATTTTATTCACATTTGGATTTCTTCCAATTTTGACTTTGAACGGATATTTAGGAATAATGTTTCAACAGAATGTATATATTGGAATATTGTTTAATGTTGCGTGTGTGATATACGCATTGGGGTTTTGGAAATATGGTTTTAGTAAATATATATTTAGGGATAGATAAGTATTTGTGTATTGAATTCATTGAGAAATAATGTTTTGATGGCTTTATTTGTATTTTTTTTTTTTTTTTTTTGATTATGAGTTTTATATTTCGTTGTAAATTAATGTAAACGATTTAAGCAGTGAATATACATAGTAGATGAGATCTAGTTTGTTTGAAGTCTATTTATAATTTAGATAAATCGTGGAATATTTGAATGTTCTGAGTGTGAAGTTTAGTGACAAGGATTGATTAGTTATTATGGATAACACTAAAAGAAGTACTATTGGATAAGGATTGAAGTTCTCTAAGCAAGTTTACGATTTGATGGGAAATATTTACTTCTCTTTCATATAAAATTCTTTCCTAGTTATTCTTTCTGCGTCTCAATTCATCGGCCTTGATCCAGAGGATGTGAAAAATATCAGTGGCAAATGGGACGCAACACGATTGTAAAGAAGAATTGTAAACAAGTACAAGGTTCGCCGAATAATAAGCCAGACCCTAACAACATTAATGGTTCCTTATTATTTTTTTAAATAAATTCGTAACGAGATTAAGTTATTCCCAAAAATTTTAAATCTTCTCAAACAATCGAAATTTTTCAAAATTTTCAAATTTTTTTCCTTTCGACCAAAACAAGATCCAATATTCATCGATGAATGATATTAAAAAAATAATAACATTCAAATATGTATATAAAATTAAATAAATTTCCATTAATTTCTCCTAGTTCTCAAAAATATTAATTTGCACAAACATTCATTATCTATATATGTCAAAATCAGAAAGAAGTAAAAGATTTTTCATTTATTATTTAGAAATATCGAATATCTAAACGAGATAAAAAGTTTTCAAAGCAAAATGTCGAAAAATTAAAAATTAATTTCCAAAAGTGCAAAACACCCGCACAGCATTTCATTCTGTATCGAGTGTATACACCATAGGAAAGACTCCTCTCCCTCCTGTGTAATAAAATCGTAATGAATGCAATAAACGCGCAATCCAGCGCGAACTAACGATCTAAATTGAATATGTAGGGTAAACTTCGGATGATTGCCTCCGTTGGCTCGAACGCACGAGTGCAAACGGTCACAATCGCCATCTTGCGCTCGCTATATCGTTTCCCGATGATAAACGCCATATTGACGCTCGTGCCGCGGCACAAAAGTCACGGACCGGTCGTCATCATCGTCAACGACCTGCAAGCGTGTTCTCAACTGTCGCACATGTCGTGAGATCAATGACGTCAATCTCGACACGTGTGGGAATAATCATCGTGCGTAACTACTTGTTGTACCGTGCTGAAGGACTTTTTTTCTTCGAAACGATGAAAGATTAATATAAAATGAGAGATGTATCGTTTTCTCGTTTTTGGCAAGATGATTTTTTTCAGACAGAAACAGATTTTTGATGTTTCGAAAAGGTTTTCATTTTCATTGACAATGAATTGTTTCTTTCTTTTTAATCGATGTAATAAATTGAAAATTGATATAATAATGCTTGAACAAATTTTATTTTAATAAAAATAGTTTAGCGCGATGGTACTATTTGTTTCTTTTTTTAATGGAAAGTTAGAGATTGTTTGTGAAATAAAAATTTGATTATGTAAACGACATGAAAGTTCTTTAATAAATCATTTCTTTATCGATGCAAATTTTTATAAGTGCATAATTCTTATGTTCTTTCTAAGAATAATTATTACCATGTGATTACGGAATAATAAAATTCAATCTCGATAGAATCTATCCAATCTGTATGTATAAGTTTATATAATATGTAATTTTCAGATTTCGTGTTACAAAAAAAATAAAAAATAGCAATCGTTGAAGAAAGAAAAGTTTCAAGAATATCTTTTAATCAAACAAGAATTCACTTTCTAATACTTTCTAAAATAACATAAACACTAATAACCAATAATGTTTTTTAACATATAAAATAAATGTTTCAATAATACTTTCTAATATGAAATAAAATATCTAATAAATCCGAAAACTTAATAAAGAAACATGCGCTACCTATTTTAATCAATACTTTCTAAAATCTAGGATAATTCTTCTTCTTCTTACATTTTAGCAACGTGAAATAAAAAAAAAAATTATAAAAGAGATACAATGATGATGGATAAAAATGAAACGAATCCAAATAAACAAATAGATCATTTTTACAATAACAATTCCATCGAACGTCCAATGAGAACAGCTCACCCATGCCACTGTAATATCACTTCTTTATTTAGGAGGGCAATCACGGTGAACCAGAGCGAGCGTTTAACACGCGGCATTTACGATAGGGCAGACTCAACAGGTTAATAGTAGGGTTTACACTAATCGAATGGGACGGAACTCGAGCGGACCGAGAGCGGAATGATTGGCGAAAATAATTCAGCTTAGTGATCTAATTCGCCTAATGCCTCGTTCGGTTAAATGATCAAACATGATTGTACCTCTGGCCGTAATTGACATAATTGTTTTCCGACCGACATTTAGAACACTCTCCCTTCGCTTCTAATTCGTATCAGATTTGTAAAAATTAATTATTCAAAAATTGATATTAAGCACTATTAATTTTATAAGAGAATATAAAGGATATTTATTTTTGTATTGTATTACATATTATTCTTTAAAAAAAGAAATTAAATTTTGATTCGAGATTCGTATCGAAATGTTAATTCATTATTTCGATATAATAAAATAATTTCTTTATTTCTTTATGTTGAATTTGAAAAATTGGCATTGTATGAACACTTTTTGACAAACATTTATGAGATAAAATAATAATTTCGATTTGAAATTATATTTCAAATAATTTCCAAAGAATCTGTTTCATGTTAATCTAATACGTTGATTATTACATTGTAATTCCATCTAATTCAATATATGATTGGTCTTAATGTACAGTTTGGAATAATTTTCTGTCTGATATCTTGAGCCAAATTGCTCGCCTTTAATGGATTTGAGAATAAGTGGTTCAGTCTCATCTGTATTTCGATCGTAAATCATTTGATTGCCTATAATAAGAGCCTATAATTTATTAAAAATATTGGCATAATAATTTCTGCACAATTTGTCCTCAAATACGATTTGAAAATATTTAAAAAAAAAATACAAATTTTTTAAAAAATATTCTTTCCAAAATATAGTTTCTAAACAAAAGAATTTATTTATTTTCTAAAAGTAATCGAATATTATGAAATAGCAAAGAATTGAAAATTTCAAAAATTCTATTCATAAAATATGCGTCTGCTCTTTCCAAAATATTCTTCAAAGGAATATCGCGAAACAACAAAATGAAAGAAAAAAAAAAAAAAAGAAAGTCGATTGCACAATAAATGGCCCATCGAATTTCTAAAATTCCATAGAGATACAATGTGAAATAAATGGAACGCTCGAAATCGCTACGTCCAAATTTTCCAAAAGTTTCAAAATTCCAAAATTCCAAATTCCTTGACGCAAAAATCCTCATAGCGCGATCGAACGAAAGTCCAAAAACTCGTCGTCCAAATTAATCAAGTTACTTGATCAATATATCCAATCACAATACCAATAACGTATGCATCTTTCTTCCAAATTTTTATCTGTTCTTCTCGAATCGTTTTCTCCAATTTCTCTCAATTTCGATCAAAATCATACAACCGATATCGCCGATCAATAATAAAATTAAAACAAAACAATACCGAATCTTCGATTTTTATCTCGACGCTCGCTCTAAATAAAAAAAAAAAAAAAAAAGAGAAATCAAGTCACTCGAATCGAAACTAATCCTGACTAATGCTTATACACGGCTGAACTGCACGCGACCAAATTGGCTCCGACAATCTAAACTTCCTGAATTGGATTGGCGCGGATGGGTGCGGGGTTGGTCGCGGAGAGTGCACGTGCGAGAGAGAGCCGAGGAACACGTGAAAGAAGTAGGTCTCCGGCGAGGATCATCTTAATCGGTGTTACCATACGTACTTACCTCATTGTCGTTGACTGATCATGCACCTTGCTCATGCACGCATCCCTGGTGTTGCAAGCCATTAGTACAAGCCGGATTGACCTCTGCTATCGTCGAGAGCCGGGTGACGAAGCCGCTCTTCTGCTCGATTGACACACGCCATTACCGTGATTACCGGTAATAATTGGCAGACACGCGAATCCACCGGCTCTCTAACTTTTCTCTTTTTCTCATTTAAGGCCCTTGAACCGCCGAAATAATCGGTCGCGACACCTCAGACCTCCGGGTCTCCGGTTCCTTAACCCTTGCTTGTGTAATTGGTGTCCAGATCTGACCACGCTGAACCAAACAATGGAATGCTTTTTTAGAATATCGTACGTATGGATAAATGATGACCCGATAATTTAAAGAGAATAATCTTCTTGGTTAATGTTCCTTTTATTTTTCGAGATATCATGAAAGTGACTCGAAATTCTTAATTATTGAATTATTATAGATATAGAAAGATCGTTTACTGCTTATATTATAGTATATAGTATAAGTGAATTTTCATATTTGGTATATATTGATTAATTTAAATTGATCAAGTTGAATGATTTTTATTACAGTTTTATAATAATAAATTTAAAAATATTGACCAATTAAAATTCTAAAATAAATTTCATCTAAAGCCCATCAATTTTAACTTGAATTGATCAATTTGAAACATTGAAAGTTTTACTTTATAAAATTAATTAATAAAACTTGCCTTATGAAATATATAAGTATTTGAAAATGTTAAATTATCGGGAATTCTAATGACACGCTCACCTAAGTGGTACGTGTCTATAAATGAGTGAGTAGTCGACGTGGATGTTTTCCGATCGGCACAACGATAAGGATGTCGTCGACACCAGCCAGTCCCAACGGCGCAGCCAGGTCGATCGTGGCGTCTGAACTTGGACCTCGACGGCGTAAATCAGCAAAACAACCGTCTTCGCAGATTGCATGCATAATTGTATTTTTATACTTGAGGCTGCCGTCCCCTAGGCAATTTGTATCGAGGAATGCTACTTGTATCGAGAAACGATCATGCGCCGACTAGTCACCGAATCGAACAGGATAAATTGAATTCTATAAACGGACGATGAGTAACTCTATCTTGAGCTCTGTTACTCCTCTAAGAAAATACAATTTATTTTCTGAAAGATTAATGCATTATCCTTTATCAGAAGGAGATTAGAAATTTTTTAAAATGAAACGAATCGATTTGATTTCTACGACTTTAAAAGAAAAAAGGAAAGCTGTTTTCACAAAGAGGAGAAAATTTTTATAGAAGAATTATATCCTAAAAATTATAATGCCTTTAAAACATTCAAATCATGTTTAAACTCTTTGATGGCTTTTTAAATAACTCTAATTTATCATTCGATCGGAAGAATAACATGCAACAAAATCAATTATTAAATGTATAACTCTACCATTAAGAAAGAATAAATAAAAACTATCCTTATCTAAAAGAACTCATCAAGAAGTATCAATTATTTTCAAAAAAAAAAAAAAATTCTTCTCGCATTGAAATGTATCGCTTCCTAATCGCCATTGTTAAAGAGTATCTTCAAGTAAACATATCGAACCCAAACAGCACTTCGGAGGAAAAACATCGGTTACACAATTGTCGTAACCGATTCGTGAATAACACACCCTGAACGTTGCTCCGTGAAACATGCGCGTGCCGCGTGCAATTACACGAGTTATACAATCCCA